ATATATATATATATATATATATATATATATATATATATATATATATATATATATATGTATGCTGAATTTTGTTAACTATTTATAGTTTAATACAATTTTAATTTGAATTAATAATGGAGATTGAGATTGATATTAATATGAGTTATGTTGTAAAAGAAAAATGGGTGTGAGGGGAATCATTTACAGTAATATTAATTATTATCATTTTTTAGGAATTATAATTCATTTGTTAATATGACAAGACAACTAACTCATTAATTTGATGAATTTAAGTTGTATGATTCAAAGTATTAAAATCAAAATAATAATAATACTAATAATAATCTATTATAGTTGCAGAGATTTAAGAAAAATAAGAGAGATTATTTATACTTAAGATCTCATGATTGTTAGTGACTTTGAGTGTTTAAGGTAGTTACAAAGATGATGCAACTATATGCTAATGAGATGACTCAATTATGTGTCGAAATGACATAATTATATTAATAGTCCATCGACGAGATTGCATAACGGTATGACTTAATCATTATGGAGATGACTCAATTATATATTGAGATGATATAATTTCATCGGCTAAGAAGACAACCTTTGTTATCGAGATGGTTGTATAAATGAAGTACCCTAATATACAATGAAATCAATTTTAATACCAAAATTAATGTGAGTGAAAAATCTATAAATTCGATCGAATCTAATATCACATCTTGGGCAGTATACCCCTGTTTTTAGCTTTACGCAAACCTATCTGATCTCATCTGCTCCTAAGAATGAGATGAACATCAAAGATGCGTCAGTTGTGAGATGCGTAAGTGCTTAGGTTCGAGTGAGAAGCATTGGGGTCAAAGCTATCCTCCTTTTCCTTACTACAGTGAATCCCATGTTCCATCCCATGAAGTCCACCACCCACAGAGTGACAGAGACATGCCACCAGTTGTTGTTGAGAAGCTCCACGGCCAACTTTGTTCATCCGTGTCATGGGTGGAGAGTCCCTGCTCCTCATCTCTGCAGCACAGCGTGGTGGGTGGGGCTCCTCTCACTTCCTTGTGGAGGCTGATGACTGAGAAAGCTATCCATTATGTACAGAACCTGACCTCCTGCAATTTCTTTTGGTAGTTTAATACCTCAATTTTGCCTGATAGTAAGAGTTACATAAATGTCAGTCGATCGATTCATTAGATTCGAGTGAATAGATAGAAATGATACATCAATAATAGAATGGAGTAGATTTTTTGATGCTAAGGTAGATCAGCATGATAATTTCATTTATAATGAAATGGACATACTTTGTATTTGCCTAATTCCATGTACCTCTCTCTCTCTCTCTCTCTCTCTCTCTCTCACGCACACACCTTAAACGAAAAAAAAAAAGTGGAGTGTGAGAAAGAGAAAGGGAGCTGATAAGCTAAACAAACAGCAGGTCCAATGTCACCAGACTGAGCTACTTTGTCCAGTAGCTCTCCCAGTCTTCTTCCTCCTCAGCTGATCACGAGACGAGGAGATTGAACGGTGACTCGTGGGGTTGGACATGACATAGAGTGCATCTCAAAATGGGTGGGTCAATGGGAGGTGGAGACGAGGCCATAAATGTCTCTGTAGCAGAGATGTCTCCCATCACCTCCCTCACTGCAGTGCTCTGCTCTGGTTTTTCTCCTAGTGTTTGTCTGATCTCTTTGTTTCATTTTTCACTCTGCACTTGGTGGACCATGGAAGGCAAATCGAGGCTGGATTTGATACGGTGGAACCCAAGTGGATTTCATGCCTTTTCCTCCATCTCAATCAAAGTAATGGTCAGTGCCTCAGACAAGAGTACTAAAATCCACTCAGACTCTCTTGAAAGATAGCTCACAGTAAGACTAAACAAGAAAGAGTGTCCAAAGCAATTGGATCACATGAAGCATCAACCGACCCCAACTCGCTCGAATTAGATTAATCTATTATTGTGGCAAGGTGCTTCAAGCTATTGTGGTTTTTGTTCATGATAAGTACTATCATTCTATCTAAAAGCTTAAGTTGCAAGCGTTCATGATGAGTTCCATTAATGCTTAAATTGAAATCAGCAGAACTAGGCATGCGACACAAAAAAGTAAGAGTAAGACGTGATACACTACAGTTGTATGATCTGGGGAGTCTCAATTTCTTCACCTATGTCGGTTCTTCTCGAGAGTGACGAAGTTGGTGATGTTATATGCCGCTGGGGAAAGAAGTCGGTGTCTCTTTTCCTCGAGGGAGAGAGACAAAGGAAGGAGTGCCAGAGAGTTATAATGAATGCGATTGCGTTAACTTCAGGTCGCTGTATGCTGACGATGACTGCACTCACCACTTCCATCCACAGGTGTTCGACGACAGTGGTCGACGATGATGTGGTAAATGTGTCTATATATAGAGCAAAAGATCGTTTATTCTCTTGCTATCCTGTTTCTTGGGATGTAATGCTGGTAAGTACGTAAGAGAAGGAGGTATCCACCACATTACTAATGGTGATGTTGTCTTGTTATATACGTGAAAAAGGTTGTCTCTGCTGCAACAGAGCAAGCACAGGTCGGGTGTTACTCTACATGGCGAGAGCTTTGCTTGAGGTGAAGTCCATGGCTGCTGACATTGCCTGCTACCAACAGATGTATATATCATCACATCATAAGATGCATGCAATGGTGAGCAGTAGTGATTTAAACTGTTACGAACCTCCTTGGGAGTTGCACTGCAAAAGCCATCGTCTCCCGAAGCAAATTGATATCAAGTCAACATGTCAAGATGTACTCGAGCATGATCCAGAAAAGTTCGACCTCTGAGATATAGAAACAATGAACTTTTAGCTGCTGCAAATTACTCGGACGTCAAACAACTCAAGAGAGGGAGACAGAAGCCATTGCCTGCGTAGCTCCGTTGACCGCCGCACTGCTTGGCTCAGATTGGTTAATGGAGTGGAAGAGTTCAGCTTGCAAAGCTTGGCTACAAACAGCGGTTGATGGTGCCAAAGTTGGAAGTTCCTGTGATGCGTTGTACGGCCAGTAATGCATCGCCATTGGTGATTGGAAATGTGAGATGGGGCTGACTGCGGCCATTGGCACCAAGCTGGTTGCTGGAAATGAAGAGGAAGGCGGAGACAAGCCTGTGGAAGAAGCCATGCCGGGTACTCCCATCCCGATGCCCATGTTCATGCCGAGGTTGAGTCCGGCGGCGGGGAAGGGAGAGAAATGAGGCATTCTCGGGCAGGGCATTGCAGGAGGAGACACAAATGGAGCAGGATATATGCCACCCCCTGACATGGTCTGGAGTGACCAAAAAGAAGAGAGGGTGATTGCAAGACCAAAGAATCATGGATGTGCGGCATGCTTTTCTTACTTGTAGTTGCTGTTGCAGGGATTTGATGTACCCAATGGCCTCTTCTAGCAGAGATGCTCTATGCAGCTGCAGTACAAAGAAAACATTGTCGGTGAACATATAGTCAATTTGCATCTGAATAAAATGTTAGAAATTGATTTCCTGGTCGACACATTGCACTGCACAACCTAAGAAAAGCTGAAATAGTCACTGAGACATGAGTTGTTGAAGAGCCTTCAACTTGTCCTTCATGCAAACAGATGAAAACAGACGGTGTGTGTCATGTAGAAGACTTACTTTATGTGAATTGGGTATGAGTTCTTGCAGTGCCTTCAGCTTCTCCTTTATCCTCTCTCTCCTCCTCTGCTCCAAGAGAGACAAGAGACGGAAGTAAATAAGACGGTGCCACTTCCAACCCAGGGAGAAGAAGAAGAAGAAACAGGAACGAATGCAGCTCCTTGCTTACTCTCTCGGTGAGATTATGCATCTCCGACGTGCGGTTTCGTTTCCGTTTCCGCGGCGGCTTGCTCCTCGCATCCACCTCCTGCTTCAAAGAAGAGAGATGGCGACAGCGATCACAGAACAGACATCTCGCAAGAAGACAAATCCAAGAGCTGCTCTATTACTTCGCTGGGACAGCCGGGAGTGTCGTTTGCGACGGCAGGGATGCTCTTCATGCCGCTGGAACTCTCCTTCTCGACGTTCTCCGAGCTGTCGGCAGCGTCGCTGACCCCGACGCCGACGCTGACTCTGGCAGCTAGAACAGGGTGAGGTGCACAGTGAGCCCCGCTCGCCGGAGAGAGCGGGCCGAAGAACTCCGAGAAGAAGTCCATCTCCGAAGCTGCAAAAACGCTCGGGGGCCGGCGGACGGCCATGGTGTCGTCGTCTCCGCCGGCGCCGGCGTGGCTCCTAAACGGTGGGCTACGGTTCATGGTGCTCTGCCGCATGCCTTCGACTACGCGGCGGACGAACTCGGATAGGTAGAAAGAGAGAGAGGGAAAGTGGGACGTCGTAGGCGGTGGCATGCGGTGGATAGGTGTCGAGAAAGCACGCTGAAACGTCATGGGATTGGAAATGGAGATGAAAGAGCGGCCGGTGATGTGGCGACCGCTGGACTCGGCCGAGGGAGTCGCAGTGTTCTTCGCGGCTGCAAAGGTGACACGAAGCCACCATCCTTGGACTGTTCGTGTACTGAGATTCACCCGTTTGCATGCAACACTGTCTACGAATTCCGATCGCCTCCTACTACGGCTTATCTTTTCTGAAACCTCAGGGAAGAATGCACACGTCTCAAGAACTAGCGAACTCATCGTCCCCAAATAATCCTTACTCCCCAACAGATGCAGGAAGAGCCATCACCGGCAGATCCGTGTGCTCAAGTGTTCATTGTTTTAGGAAGAACCATACATGTCAACACACACTCCATTATAATTAGAACGCTATTTTATCTTATACACTGGCTTGGCAGTTTAATTTCATGCATGTTAAATCTCCTATTAACATATAATTTAGCAGTTCCTGCTGCATCTCAGTTGGATTTGTTTGCCTTGGCTGGTCCTCTGGGAATTTTCTCGAGGACCTTCGAATTGGCTTTCTTGAACACCTGCTGGAGGCCGTCGATTCCCATGGCGGCTGCATGATCCACTTCACGTTCATATCGCTCGTACAAAGCCGGCAGAGTCAGCGAGCAAAGAAGCACTGAAAGTGAAGGCAATGCCTCTCGGTGAGACGCAATCAAACTTGGTCATCTCTTTAACTGTGACGACAGTGGTTATGCTCACCGAAAAATAGGAGATTTATGGAGCTGCAGCAGTTTCCTATCGCCGAGATGATCCAGAGAGAGATGATTGTCTGTAGAACATGGTTGTGCACTTGAGGTGCCATCAAGAAAGCCAAAGAAAGACTAGTAGGCTAATGAAAAGTGGATCTTTTTACCAAGAGGAACAGTCTGAGATCATTGCCACCTGCAATACCATGGAGTATGGAGAGGCTGTGACTGAGATAGGAATGGAAGAGCAGTGCCCCTTTCCTGAAGGCTTGCTCAGATAAGATGAGCTCAGGGATCTTCGGAGGTGTCCTGGAATCAAAAGTAGTGGCACATAATTTACTGCCAAACTAAACAACTTGAGCTGCTAAATTCAATACAAGACAAGAATTAAACTTAGTTGTGCAAATATGGAACTTATGAGCAGCTTCCTTCTGAAGTATTGCTGTCGATGTGTTAAATTCTCCTTGTCGATCAGGACATGGTTCCATTAGTATCATATCAATCTCAAGAACACCATGCATGCATGCAGAAAGAAGAAGAAGAAGAAGATGAAGAAACGAGAAGAATGAGATCAAAGGGAATTACAGGTCAAGCAGAGCTGCACCATTGGACCATATGAAGACGAGAAGCATTGCTGCTATCGAGATGTGGCAAAGAAGTGGCAGGAGATTGTACTCCATGACCTCGAAGAGCAGCCACACAACAGTGACCGCAATGAGTATAGCTGCAGACAAGCGTTTGTCTCTCCATAGGACGATACCAGCAACTACACAGCCACCATTTGGATTCCTATTAACTCTGTTTCGTCAGAAGATTAAAATGAACAGCAAAGAGAGTTACCTTTTCCTCCACCTAAAACATCACGAAGAGGTCTTTCCCTGCCAAAGAGCTTCTTTTGGCCCGAAGACATGTTTCTGGGATTTCTGATGCTGTGCTTTAGCCTTCGGAACTGTGGTTGCTGCTTCTTATAACTAAGTTGATACTATCCTCTGTGGCCAAGGAACATGACATGGGAAGAAAGGGATAACGTATTCTTAGTCTATGGTTTCGGTGAGAGAATAAGTTCACCATCAACCATCTTTTCTATATATATATATATATAAAGATATCAAATTTCTGAGTATGATTACCGGTTGTGAAATATGGTAGAATCATTTCCTATATAATTGATGTCACACTCTTGAATTCCCGTAGGAGCTATCTATCCTAAATGGGGCCTAAATGTCTGTGTCATCTTTATTCTTGCACCGTAATGAAGTGAAATCATGCATTGATTCTTACTTAGGGGCATTACACAAGCATGTTAAGACATCGCAACGAGGCAATGCCTACCCAAAAAAGGAATGGCTACTAATTCAGGACGGAAGTAAAGATTAGCATATGTGATCTTATTTTTATATGCAAAGAGATTGTTCGACTTCACACAGTCTTCCTAAAATGATTCGCTTATTTTAGACTTATTTTACTGGCAAAAATTGAGTAAAATTATTTTAATAAATCAGATTGAGAATACAAAATACCTCTGATTTGTTCTTAAATATGAAAAATTATAAATTTATTTTTTATTTTATTTTATAAATGATTCTCACCACAACTACATAAGAAAACAAATTCAATATATAAAAATAATTCAAGCTCGGTCGGACCTAAGGAGTTGAAGTTGGCAATATCTAGAAAATTATTAGGATGAATTGTTGATATATGTGTGCTTGGGAGCCTTCTAATTTGTTCATCATCATCATCATCCCTCATATTTGCTTCAACAATGCAATCAGATTTAAAATCCTCTCCACTTGGTACCAATCCAATTTCATCTCCGATTGCAATGACCAGTCCCCTTTGTTATTTCATCACATCTCGATCATCCACTGATACGCCTTGGGATATTAAATGAAGCTTACATGGACAGATGATCTCTCAAGCGAGTCTGAGATGTTACATGGGAGAGGATTCATTGGCTTATTATTAATAGTTATCCTTCATTTATTACCGATATTTAAGCAAGACTCTAAGTCATTAGTCTTGAAATGATGCTCAGTACACCCATAACTACACTCATAACCGTCCTACCTTATCAAGATCAGATAATGATTAGATGATTCGCTTAATCTTATTATAGACCTCACTTAATCTTATTATAGACCAACGCACAACGATTATATATAAAAGGAAACCTATCAGTTAGGGGGGACTCACTATACACTAACATAGTCATACAATTTACACTGTTATCTTTTTCCCTTCGTTGACTTAAGCATCGAATGGATGACTCTGGACAACCCCCGATGTCGGCTTGTCAGGATCGTCAACAAACAGAAGACGATCCCGTTGTCAAAATGTAACCATGAGACAACCCTTCGTCCGAGGACACATAGGCGATCCATCCACAAGGGTGAACGTTACAAACAAAAAATCCTAAATTACCTATCCGATCATCCCAAAGCAAGTCCATGCTAACAAAACATCTTCCAATTGGGTTGCCTGGGTGGTCTCACCTCATCAAGTTAATCACATCAATCAGTAAGAGGCACTTTAATGAGTTTGTTACACTCATCACATCGTCAATAGTAAGATAATTATCAAATATTTATAAATCAAAGAGTGATGACTTATTCAATATAATTTTAGATATTATTTATTTTATTTTGTTAACTTTTCTAACTTATGATAGAATAATATTAAACCTCTTAATATAGTAAATTAAAAAATAAAAACAATTAAATTTTTTAAAATGTTTTTTGATTGTGTCCAACAAAAGTCCAGTCTACTCTGCCAACAATTTATCGCAGCAATCATGAAAGGCCGATTGCTGAAGAGCCAGGCCTTCGCTTCGCTGACGTTGAACAGTAGCTGCACGCAATGGTGCCCCTGACCTCCTGCTTCCTCTTCACCACCGCCACCATCTTATCCTTCTTCTCTCTGTACATCCCAACCCTGTCCATGTCGCAGATCAACTACTCCTACTTCTACGAAGTCTGCAAGCCTCTTTTTTGCGGCAACGTGACGGTCTCCTTCCCCTTCTTCTCCACCAATTCCTTTTGCGGCCTCCCCGGATTCATGATTACCTGCGACCCCTCCTCTCCGCCCACCATCACTTTCTCTGACCGTCCCTACCAGGTGAACAAGATCTCCCTCGATGAGTCCTTGCTCTTGGTGTCCGACCACCAACTCGCCCAACACCTCCGCTCCAACTCCTGCGACGCCGCCGGCTTCCTCCCTGCCGCCAGCTTCGCGTCCTTCCAAATCCCCTACTGGATCATCTACCTCAACTTCTCCTGGTGCCGTCGCGACGAGGGTCAGCTTCCTCTCAACTTCACGAGCGAAACCGTCGAGTACGGTGGCTGCCAAGGGAACTCCAGCCTTTACTTCCTGTCAGGGACGTTGAACAACGACACCATGCTTCCGGCGTCGTGCGACCATGCGTTGCTGCCCATACTGCTCGCGAGTATCGTTGAGGCTAATCTCACGCTGGCGAAGCTCAAGAATACCAGCGTCGTGAAGTGGGACTATCTCTTTCCAATAGTGGACAAAGGGTTCGCTCTGCAGTGGGATTATAACAACACGGATTGCTTGGTTTGTCAGGAATCCGGCGGGCGGTGCGGCTACAACCAGACCACCGGGAAGCCGCTGTGCTTTTGCAAGGACAAATGCAGTCGAGATGGAAATGTTGGTGCTACCAAGTAAGACTTTTCGTCTCTTCTCTCTATTCGCCTCTCTCGTAGAAAGAATAGGCACGTCTCTTTGGTGGTGAATGATCCTCTTGGAGTAGCATGAGCCACAAAACTGTGCACGCGACGGAGAAATCATATAGAAATTGAGTTCTCCATCACAGTCAAACAACCACCACCCTGGACCATTGTGCCAGTCAACTATTTATGCCCCAGTCCTAAAAAGTTCATCATCACGTCATTTGTGTCCTTGCTATGGTAGTAGTGTCTAGTAAACTCCACTGTAGTCATTTGCATAGATGCAGGGTATGTTGTGTTTAATTTGTGGATGATGATACTTCTCCCTGCAGGTTTGGCGCATGGAAGATCGTTCTAGGTAAATCGTCTCCAGAATCTTTCTGTGTGAGTTCTGTTTCCGGCACTGTTCTTATACAGTACTCTTGTTTGATCATGCAAGCAGCTGCAGTTGTCCCAACAGCATTCCTAGCAGGGCTCTTCGCATTCGTCAAGTTCAAAGAGAAAGGGGCATCACTCTTTCACCGTCTGATCAGGAAGAGAAGCACGAGACCAAGCGGCGACTCTGAGATCAAGGAGTTCATCAGCAACTACAAATCGATGCTGACCACAGAATACTCGTACGCCGACGTGAGAAAAATCACAAATGGGTTCAAGGAAAAGCTTGGGGAAGGAGGCTACGGCAATGTTTACAAGGGGAAGCTCCCAAATGGACTTCTGGTAGCTGCCAAGGTGTTGGAGAAGACCAAAGGCAATGGCCAGGACTTCGTGAACGAAGTGGCCACCATCGGTCGAATTCACCATGTGAATGTCATCCGGCTTCTAGGCTTCTGCTGCGACGGCACGCGCCGAGCTCTGTTCTACGAACTCATGCCCAGAGGATCATTAGCTGATTTGATATCCAAGGAAGAGATGCGACAGAAGCTGGGTGCTCAAAGACTGCTCGACATCGCTCTTGGGATCGCCCGGGGCGTCGAGTATCTCCACAACGGGTGCGAGAAAAGAATTCTGCATTTGGACATCAAGCCTCAGAACGTCTTGCTGGACAGCAGGTTGCAGCCCAAGATTTCAGACTTCGGATTGGCGAGATCGTACTCTCGAAAGGACAGCAGCGTCTCTTTGACAGGCGCCCGAGGTACCGTCGGCTACATAGCCCCCGAAGTGTTCTTGAGAAGCCTCGGGGGCGTCTCCCACAAGTCGGACGTGTACAGCTTCGGGATGCTTCTGCTGGAGATGGCCATGGGGAAGAAGGATGCGGCGGCAGAGACGGAGCGGTCCAGCGAGAATAAGTACTTCCCCGACTGGATCTACAATCAGTTACAGGAGTGGCTGCGCGTGGACATGGAGGACGTGGTGGCGGTGGTGGAGGAGGATGTTGCCATACTGAAGAAGATGGTGATGGTGGGCTTGTGGTGCATACAGACTGATCCGGTTAGCCGTCCTTCCATGCTCGGAGTGGTAGAGATGCTCCGAGGGGCTGCCGAGCTCATCGACATGCCTCCGAAACCTCGCCTGTTCTCTCCCCCGAGGCAACAGCCGAAGGAGAGCACTAGCTACGGTGATGATGGCACACGGTCCTTCTATTACACATTCGAGAGCGAGTCGTGCTGATGGTAGCAGCAAGCCCAGCTGGTATCAGGTGGATCTCTTTTGAGCGTGGCACTCAGAACAGGGGAACACAGGAGGAAGGCTAAGAGAAGAAGGGGAGCTGTTCTTCTTGTTCCTTGTGCTTGCTGATCTGAAGCATCACAAGGGACTCCACTCAAATGCAGTAAGAAAGTTCTGAAACATATCCCCTTCTGTTCAAGATTTAATGTTTGATACTCCTGCGTGTGGAATTTGCTCATCAAAATAAGCAAGATTCTTTGCCAATCCAAACTTAATACCTAGATTTTGGTCAGTCAAATCTTACAAAAAGAAAGTCAACATGAAATATTAACGGATTTATCCCTGGAATTAATTTTGATTTAGAGAATATTTTCCCCTAACTACAAATGGCCGATGTACAGAGGAGGTTCGATCGGACCCGGTCCGGTTCACGAGGCATGACCCAACACGGACAGCGGATTCGGATTCGAACTTGCATCAAGTGGATCCAACTCACCGTTGGCTGCACTGCGCACGCCGAGAATCCGTGTCCTGTCGGCCTTTTACGCCGAGCGGAAGAAAGCAGAACTATTGGATCCAAGAAAACCACAGCTTCGTCGGCTGGGCAATCCATGCAGGATCGAACGTCCATGGCGCATTCATCACCATTGCAGCAAAGGAGCATTTCTGCTTTCAAGACCGGCTAAGGAGAAGAAGAGAGTTGGCAATGGTGGCGGTGACGGTGGTGGAGGAAGAGATACGAGTCATGGAGCAGAACCCCTGTACGAAAACTACAGGTCTGGCTTGATCAAGCAGGTAATGAAGGCTTTAAACAGGCCCTTCATCGGCTGCACTTGATGAAATGGAAGCCCAATGGTTAAACTCTTTATTAGCCAAGGCTTAAGCTTTGGTTGGTTGATAGCTTGGGTGGGTTTGTGTTTCAGTATTTAAATGTCTTAATCTTTCATCAAAGTCATTAAGACTATTTTTGTCAGATGATGAAGTAATCATGCTAGCCCAATTCAACGAAAGAAATGAGAATTTTTATTGATATTGTGTATAAGTTTATATGCAGAAGAAGAAATTACAAAATATAATAATTATATGATTTTATTAATTAATAATAGATATAAAATATTTATTGAATTTTTTTATCATTTAGAAGATCATGTTGAGATCATGATCCTTATTATTGATAATATTTATCATAATTTTTTATAATTTAAAATATGAGACATGAGAGATACATAATTTATTATTTTAAAATTTATTACGAATAAAGGTAAAATCAATAGTTATGTTTTATTCGAGAGTGAAATATAGGGCCAGCACATAGATATGTTGCATCGATATTGTCATAATATATAGATGGATAATCAGACAATATGACAAATAATTTATATAGTAATGATTGAATCAATAAAGTTCTACAGTTATAAAAACAATCACTCTTATCATTTGTCTCTATAAGATTTTACAATATAGAAGATTTTACAATCACTACAGGTCTCTATAAAAGATTTTACGATCCATAGAAGATTTTACAATATAGTATTATTTTTTGAAACTCCAACATATTAGATTGTGACTAAGGAATACAATATAACCATTAGTAGATGTCCTATCATTCTTATCATTTGTCCGATCAACATTTAAAAATGCATGAAGCAATATAAGAGTTCTTTAGAAAAAATAAACAATGATCAATAATACTCTTTAAGTACCAAAGATGACATTTAACGGTTGTTCAATGGTTTGAAGTAGGCATGTAAATAAATTGAGATAATTTATTTATTATATATAATGTCCAAACGAGTGAATGTCAAATATTATAGATTACCAATAACTTGACAATATTCAGTGGCATCACCGAGATTAGTACTATGGTCTTGAATATATTTCAGGAAAGAAATAGATTAATTGTTATGTAGATGACTTAGAACACTAAGAAAATAGTTGAGGATCCAAGATCTTTGATAAAAAACTTATTTCTAAGTTGCTAAATAAACTGATTAATTATTATTGATTTATTACTTGTAATAATTAAGTCATCTACGTAAACTAGTAAAAAAATGATTATGCCCTTATGAGAATAAATAAAATACCAAATACGAGGGGCCTACTTTAGATTATAAAGAGTCTTGTGTAACTTAGATATATATTGAGGAAGATTCTATTCAATAAAACGTATAAGTTGATTCATAAATATCCTTGAAAATATGATCATAAAGACATATTTTTTATATCCAACTATTGAAGTCCCCAATTATTATATAAGATAAGATAAAATAATATAAATTATTATTAGGTTCCCAATTGGATTGGTAAAATCCCTCTTGTTTTATACTTATCTATCATGATTTCATTTGATATAAAAAATTCATTTGTACATTATAAGATTTTGACTTGACGAGATAAGACTAAGTCCCATGTGTTGAGAAACCTGGGGCAACATCATATGCGCAGTAGAAGAATAAAAAATAAAAATCCAAAATTTCTTGAAGAAAATAGTTTCTCGTTGTCGTGCGAAGATTGGTGTGCAAAAATCGATAAAACTGAAAACTACCCATATGCGAAAGATGTGTTACTTAGGGAGTTCGTATATCTTTGAAAACCTACAGATCTATGGGAGAAGATGAAGAAGGTTAACTATCATCCTCTCTAGTGGTGATCCACATGGCAGATGCGACGAAGACACTCCTCAAATCGTCACACAATCCTCCTCTTCATGTGCACCACATGATTAAGAAGGTCCCGACCCTTCTTATTGTCCACATGCCCCAAACGAGGGCTGTCGATAGAGGAGGAGAGTGAGGGAGGAGTATAGGAGGTGGCATCCAAAATTAGTTTAGCCTATGCCCGCTTTGGTTCCCTTTTATTTGTAGAGATCCCTATCAACTTAACTATAATAGATCTTGCCGTACTGGATCTCCATCCAACTACCCAAGCCTCTTGGAGTAATGGATTTCTACCCAATAATATCTCATTAACTCTTATTGGATCTTATCCATAAGATCTAATAATTCAGGGGCTCACTAGATATCTAACAAGATAGGAGCTCCAACGGATATCTTATATCCGAACCTCTACTCGTTGCAACACTAACCATATGTGTGTGACCCTCTAGACCCAATATTAAGTTGGCCATGAGTTATGCCTTTCAGAACTCCTTCTAACTCAGTAAATTATTATCTCCAAAATAATTTACTCGACTCATTGGCTATTGTTGTACTAGACTACTTCGTCGTAGTCCCTAGATGATATAAGGGAATTCAATCCATTGAACATATTTATCCTCAATTACCGTGTATCTATAATCTCTCATTCATCTAATATCTCAGAGATCGTATATCAAGCATGATGTCGCCAGACCCATATAAAATGTACTTAAGTTTTGCTCTAATTGGATTCTCTCATAGAGTTCTTTCTCTTTCAATTCGAATGATATCGCTAAAGATTTTTCTAAGCAAGAATATATAGGATATTCCTCTATCGACACTCAATTGCTCTTGTAAAGTTGGCTGTCACTCCATAGCTGTGCTAGATCTAGAACTTTTTGACCTATAAATTCGGTATCAAAGAGTGAAGTACTCATACAGGACATCCTTGGTATCTCAAGTCTAAGGACCAAATACACAACTGGGACGACGAAATCACTATCTGATAATGAGGTATCATCAACTATCCAGTATTTCGTGAGCAGATTAATCAGTGAACTTATTCTCCAATAAGCACTTATACTATATTCCTAATTCCCTACATGAGCAGTTATGAGACTAGTCGCTTCCATCATATGGATAGGTATACAGTACATCAATCTATCTGGTTATCTCGATATTTCTCTCGAGTAACTTACGGCCGAGATTATTTAGGGTCTGTGTTTAAAGGTGAATCAATCTTATTATCTCGATTCTAATTGTACTGATCCATGAACATCACAATACAAGCAATAGGCAATATAAAGTGAAAAAATATCAATAAATAATAATAAGTAAAAAGAGTATCTATAATGTCACATATGTCATTGCTCACGTGATTGACTTACAAAACACACTTGTCATCACTTTGAGTTTATAAACACAATAAGAGATTACAGAATATGATAATTATATACTTTTTTAATTAATAATAAATATAAAATATTTATCTAAATAATTTGATATGAGATCTTGAGATCATAATATAATAAATAGAATCATGATAATATATTATCAAGATATTAAGAGGAACATTATTTATTTTTCTCACTAATATTTTTCCTGATATTTAATCCCTACAAAATGTTACGCGATTTAATTATTTATTTTAGTCGATAATCTCCCAAGTCAGGTTGAAGCATTCACTGATTGCTTTCCTAAGTCAATTGCCACAGTTTTGGTTGAAGATTAAATCTTTGTATTGTTTCCTTGCAATGATAATGATCAAGTACCACTTCTATTAATATTGCAGGTATTGAACAAAGACTACCTGAATTTTGACCAGACCAACAGCAAGATGAAGAATAATGATGCTGAAGATGAAAGAGACACAGGTTTCCAAACTGGTAGGTATTTGTCAAGTCAAAATAAAAATATGCTTGAAATTTAACATTGTTTTCTAAGCAAACACAAAGACCACACAAGAATTGTTGCACCACCTTAATGATGGATTCTTCTACAAAGAGGAACATCTCTTGGTGGAGATTGGTAGTCTATAACCTTTTTCTTTTAAGATTGAAAAGACCCAGCCTTTGACACCAATACACACATTATTTATTGTAGATTGGAGCACTCAAAAAGTTTATAATCCATAACAATCAGCTCAAAACAATTTTGTTCCTCCAGAATCCACTATCTTGTCCAGTATACAACAAACTGAACCCAAAAAGCTGAGTAAGAACTCTGTTTGATCAGAGAGGAAAATCCATCCATCCATCTGACTGAGACTTCAAGGAATTTAATACCCATTACAACTTTCTTTTACTGCAGAGGTTTCTGGATAGCTAGTTCTGTTGTTCCTCTGCCATTTTTCCTTCTCTCAGACAATTTAAATGTGTAATCAGTTGTTGAAATGGTTACACAAATGAAGACCAAATAACTATTTGCCTGACATAAGCTCACAAATGGGTGATTGGCAGAGTGCAACCAATTGAAGACCACAAAGTTAAAGATGATTTGAAGCCTGATGTTACTGATAACAACCAAAAGCAACTTGTAACAGATATCACAAGATACAATCCTTTTCTTTTTTTTCTCTCTTAATCTTGATAAAAGGCTTTGATCTGTCCTTCCTTGGTAAGAGTTCATTATATTATATAATCTACAGCAGCATACATGCTAGAAATGCTTTCCTGGTCACCAATGGTTCCAAAGATCAAAGATTGGTTTTCCCAAAAGCTCTTGCCACTGCATTCAAGTCACCCCAAGGACTTTGTTGATCTCCTCCTAATTAATGCCCTCCTCTCCATAGGCATCTCAAGTGTGCACCAATCCCATTCAACAATCACCTTATCTTCCATGTTCATCCATCTTTAGACATCTGCCATCTGAACCTACATCTTGATGTTTTGTTTTTGTCTTTCAACATGTGTTAAAGTAGGTCAGCTAAAGACTATACTCAATTGACATGATGCAGTTAACCAACTATTTCATATTGTATCCTCAAACATTCTAGACCATGTCTAGGTTTTGTTTCAAGGTCATTGCTGAATTAAGTATTCTTGCAGAATCACCTCACATGACTTTAAGTGAAATCCACACAAGCAGAACTTGTTTATCAAAGAAGTAGGTAATGTCACTTGAAACACAAAGGGCTATTTTAAGCATCTTGTCCCTCATTGCTTGGATAATTAACATGCTTTCAACTTGATCATAAAGAAGAAATCTATTCAGTTCTTAATACAAACCTGTTGCTTAAGTCTTGGTCGGCCTTCTAAAACAATTCAAAAGAAAGAAAGATGGTTGCTAAGTCGACGGCGACGTATAATTAATCAGGAAAGGTGAGGTGAGATCATCTTGTATTGTGTACTCAATTAAGCTCCAATCAAGCAGAATATTTCTCATTAGTAGGACAATTAATTAGGTGGACCTCACTCGAGATTCGCATGATCTTTCGTTTTCCGAAAAATTTCTTCTCAATCAACAAGATAACAGCAGGCATGATTGTCTAGGTGAAATGTTTTGTATCTTATAGTGGAGACCACCTATATCTAGACAAGTTGATGACTCACTTTGAGCACTCATTGAAGCTGTAGATAGGCAGATTCTTCCTCTACAGTGGTCTTGAATGAGAAAGAAAATAGAAGAGACCTTAGAACTAAATTGGAAGAAAAATATATCCACTTGTGAGACAGAAATCTTGTGAGTTACTCAATCACTGTGCTTATGTTAGTGTAATTCAACATACATACATAGAGATGCTTCTTATCATGCAAAAATTAGTCCAAGTGCATGCTCTGTTTTGTAGTGGAAAACTGGATTCTTGATTTGGTATGAATGCAGATAATATAAGATAGTTTATATTCTATAACACCTCATTAGGTCCATAGATTAAGGGGAAAGTCTGTGTTCCTTGCTGTCCTACTAACCTATAGAACCATAATTTTCCTCTTGAACATACATATAAACAGAGGTCAAAGAAAAAGAATTGAGTGTAGGGTGTGCAGGTCCTACAAAGTTTCTCATCCAAGTAAACTCGAAACATGAATGACAACATGGCAAGGGAATTTAAGTAGGCTTACTGTGCTAAGATTAGGGGAGTCTTAATTCGGGGAACATTGATGACTAACATGACTGATATCATATCTGAATAGATTATCTATTCTAAACCACCTTCCATGAAGAATCTGGACAAAACAAGCCCCATGTTAGCAGTGGATTAAGATTAACTAAATATTTCCAACTCAAGTACAAGGACCTTAGATATCAAATGTGCCATTAAACATATATATCTCAATAATATAGTGTCTAAAATGTGTAGGTGAATGATTGTTGATGTGCACTAGCAGCACCATATCCCATGAATTCAGCATTTCTCTTGAACCCAGAATCTCTCTCAGATATTTCACATCGTTGGAAGATATCTGGCTTATTAATATCAACAGATCAAAAAGATAAACTAGAGTTTAATAGTTTTTCTTCATGTGGATAAGATATGTCTTGAATGTGCCACATTGTCTGATAAATTGGTGTGCAAGCAAACCTGTTATTTCAACCAGCTGATATATAAGAAGCAATAATACTGTGCATTTTTCGTTGTTATACCATAAGGCATGCATAGAATGGTCGGCTAACCCTCTCAATCCTTCTCACAAGTGCTTTAAAGCTCAGTACAAGCTATATCAGGATGCTTTAAGCAGCATGTCACATAAGATGGAACAGCTTATGCATTGGCATCACATCCGAGTGAAAGTAAATGCTAGAGAAGAAGTATATCTGAAGTTTCCAAGACACGAGAAAACACAGAAAGATAAAAAGTCTCTCAGCTTCCAATGGCTTTTTCATTTTAGGTTACATGCTTGAGATTCTCTACCAAAAACTGTGTGTAAGAGTTGTTCATTTGTGGATTTTCGAGCTGCTAAGTTGCCCTTTTGTGTCATCAGCAGAGAATCTTTGAGCTGAGATCAGTGGTTGACAGCTAACTTCTTCCCAATAATTCTCGCAGTAAACTATATGTGCTAGCGGCCTGTATTGTAGTGTGCATGAATTGATTTCCATGTGCATTGGGAGAAGAAAGTGTTGGAGAACAACATGATAAAAGCAGCGAGAGCAAAGCTTGTTTATCATCTTCTTCTCAACCCTGTCACTGTTGCATGGAGATATGTCAGACATGTAACATGTGCAAGATCATGATTTGGACTGTCACATCCAAGCTAGAGAAAGAGGATACATGGAACACAGTGTAATCCACAGCCACGGACAGATGGAACTGTAGCACAGGCTCCACAGCTCCGCTGAACTCTAGTCCTCCGGCATTTCCATCTGTCATTAGTCCCCTTGTTGGCAACAGAAGAAGGAAGTGATGTTAATGCATCTCGAGACAGAATGTGTGTGACACTTGTGACCTCCTCCCCTCTCACATGCATATGTCCCAGGCACTGGCATCGAAGTGCCAACCACATGTCGAGACCCAACAGGGGGAGCTCACCTGTTCCTATGGGCTGAGGGAGGGACAGGCAAGGCTGCCATGTCACAGAAACTTTCTTCCTTGTCCCTGTGCTTGCAGTGACCTAAGAATGTTTCATTTCATATAATACAAGGGGAGCAGGCTCCCCACATGGTGGCACCACCACTTGAGAGGCAGAAACTAATAGAGCTCAGGCAAAGTGGCACCCACTCACTCACAGTTGATCCACTATTAACCTAAAGCTATTATGGCCATCACCAAATATTATATCTCCATCATCCAGCTCTGCACCACACACATGCTGCTCTTTAAATATATTACGGTAGAGCTGTAGGGTGGCAGCCCCATGCAGCCCTCATACGTAGAATATACTGCCACCAACGAAGGTCAAGACAAGCGCAATCTAGGGTCTTTCTGCTGTTTCTCCTGTTCCCCAAACCACATCGTGCACTCACCCTCCCCTCCTCCTCTCTCTTGGGATGTCCGCAGCCAACTCCTCTCTCTCTCCCTCTCATGTACAATTATCATATCAGTAGGTTGTATTCAAGTCATTCTTTGTTATTATCTCTCACTATTATTTTGGAGTCTATGGACTCCTCCTCTCCTTGTTTCAACCTCGTGTATATTATATCTCTTCACCTTTGAACCATTCCATATATGGGTATATATAGAGCAAGCTAAGCTGCCGGAACCCTCATGCAACCAGCTCTCCATTCCTCTTTCTTCTTCTCCTCCTCATAGATTACTGTCTCTTTCTACTGCTGTTCTGTTGCTTTTAGAGGGAGGATAAGATGTCAAGGATGGAGTGCAAGTCGAAGGACGACACTAGCCCGCGGGTGAAGGTGTTCGGCGTCCATGCGGCCGAGGAGGAGGCCGGTCATGGATCCGATTCGTCGTCATCCACGACCACCACCGCTGCGGCACCCGGCGGGGCTGGGGACGGCGGAGACGGCCGCAAGTACGAGTGCCAGTTCTGCTGCCGCGAGTTCGCGAACTCGCAGGCGCTGGGCGGCCACCAGAACGCGCACAAGAAGGAGCGGCAGAGGCTGAGGCGCGCCGTGCAGATGCAGCACCGCCAGGGCGTCGTCGGCTGCTTCCGGCAGCCGGCCGGCGTCCTGTGCCCCAGGAACCCCATAGTGTCGGCCTTCGCGCCGCCGGCCCACCTCTTCCCGGACTCTTCCGCTGCCGGCGGGCCCCCCACCGGATGGGTCTACTTCTCCCGCGAGCCGTCTGCGCCGGCGCCGGCACCGTCGCCGCCCTTCCACGTGTCGCACGGCTGCGTCTTCCCCTCCTCCTCCGGTGCCCGCGTGCCCCCCGTCACGCCCCTCTACTCCTTCTCCGCCACCGGCTACGGCGGAGATGCCCGTGGCGGGCGGCTCTACGACGACAGCTCCGTCACGGGGCCGACCTCGTTCGCGAGGTTCACGGTCTCAGGCCCGGGCAAGATGGTGACGGACTCGGCCAGAGCAGACGACTCGGTCGGGTTGGACCTCCAACTCAGCCTGGCACCTGCCGGGTCATGACCTCTCTCTCTGATTCCCATCTCTCATATGATGATGATAACTCCTTTAAGGATTGTAGTAGATCCTGTACATCTGCCTTTCCCTTCCTTAACATTTGATTCAGTTCTCGTTGGTGAGCTGATGATGATGCAAATTTGAAATCCACATGCCATTAATGTGATGGGAAAACAAGAAGTACAGGAAAGCCAACATATACTCCGCTCGTTTCAGCTCGAACTCATGTAGGCTTGTCAGCATGCAAGAAAACATGCTTGCTGAAAGCACTTGGCTTGAGATCTAAACACCAGCAGTGGCAGTCGTATTGTTCGATGGTGAACCCTAACTCCTCGGCAGTTTCTGCACACCAACCGCAGCAGACGAGGCATCATCTTCCCATGCAGCGAGCAAGGCATTAAAAGATTGCATGAAAGGCACAGTGGAGGGTTGTGCTCTGTGCACCGCAATAAACTAAGCCTCGCCTCAGCGTCAAGAGACCAAACTTTATGCTGCATAACGTGGACGACGCACCGATTCAGAGGCGAGTGCTGTGTCGCCCTCCCGACTCGCCAACAGCTGCCGGCCCCTACGTTTCGTCTGCTGGTTGGCCGCCTCCCCGTCTCTTCTGTGTTTGGCACCCAGACGCCCGCTCTCCATGAATCCACCTGCGAGTGATTGCCTGTGTACGACGGCAGTAGAGAAGGTGTACGTACGTAGAGACGGCAGCTTTACGTGCATCATCTCCTACATTAATCCCTTCCTCTCGATACTTTCTTCGTCGCTTCATTGTCTGCTATCATCAATTAGTCAACAAGTGTACAGTGGCAGCAAGCGATGGATAGATCATCTCAAGATTCGTATCACTTATACTAATAATAAGATTAAACCTAGTTTTATAATCCCCACCCACCAGCTTGATCACAGGACCAAGGGACGTATCTTCCACATACAACTCGATGAAGATTTCGACCACTTCGATTCATCACTTGACCTAACAATGAATATTATATGGGACGCTCCAAGAATGTCATCAGAGGAACAATTACCTTCAACCTTAAAACCCTTAGATCCTTGGTTTCTAGTTTATCTTGTAAACGACAGATTGATAGATAAAGAATATGGCACATAGATATCATCTTGGAATCAGAAAATAAATAACTTCAATTATTAACCAAAGGTGCCATATTATATATAGGTTTCTCCCTTTTAACAGTTCATGGAATGTATAATTTGATTAGGGAATAATATAAGCAAATTTACAACTCCTTACAACATCTAGAAAAGGTATTCGGATTCTCATGTTTAGTGGTGGGATGTAACTCAAAGTCAACTCATTTTACCCAAAAGTATTGGTTATTTAACTCAGTATAAGCTCATGATCGATGTAACATACCAACCTAATAGAGATCTCTGCACACACACACACACACACACACTCTCTCTCTCTCTCTATGTATCTATCTATCTATCTATCTTGATATATAATTGACGATTAGGGTAGGTGCAGTTTCCATTAACTCGATCTTGCTCGATCTTGACAAAAAGGATTAATAAATCCTAGAAGTTCATAGAGTATAAATGACTTTATTGTTGGACATGAAGTTTATCAAAAGAATCACATCAAACTAAGAGGATTCCTGTCAATAACTAAGCTATCATGAAGAGGAATTTTGATGATTTTACCTAATAAACAATGACCAACATTGTTGTGGACCGAGAAGAAAGATATTGAATTTGAATCATTTGTTAAACTAATTAAATCTTAATAGAAAGGGTTTTGGTGAAGAAAATGGCATATTACCAGGCTATGACTGTCAATCTAGAAAAAACAATTTTTTTTCATGTCAAGGGAATATGTTTTGCTTCTGACCAAAGAAAAGTAAAACATGACAAGATGTCCAACCCAAGAACAAATCTAGTCAAAAGAAGATATGATAGCACTGTTGCAATCCCACAAATCATTCTATTCTCAACTTTATCTTGGTCATTGAGGATTGTCCTACCCCACATGTATGGCCAAAATCTGAGTATTTTGCAACAAAAGCCAATGTGTAATCTTCCCATAATTATGATCTCATGGTTGACACTTTCACCAAGAGATGGATGGGACAAGAAAGCTAGGCAAGCAACAAAAAATGTGGGTGGAGATTTTTAATTTAGAAAGAGATAAAAAGATCCAATGACTCCTAAAGATTGAAGATGAGGTGAGAAAGAGGTTCCCACTTTCACTAAGAAGCACTTCAAATGGGTTCCAATTGTAAAGAGTCTCTCTCTTATTAGTGACACATTAGTAGTCATCATCAACATGTAGAGCACTCAAAAGATACATCAAGTAGAGCACCCAATGTGCTACGCACAATGAAGGCAAGCACCAATACATCAATGCCAAAGCAACTACAAATTAAACTCATTTCAACTGCTCCTCATTGGTAAAATGTCATGGATAGGATTTCACAGACCACAAACATCTCCATGTAGATATTGCTAAGACAAAAGGATGACATGACATGAGGATCACTATAAGCTCATCAAAGTGGGCATTTGGAGAAAAATTGAAGCACTTTGCAGTTTAAATGCTTGCCTTCAATTAGTTCTTTGCTTGGGCAACAATGAGTGTGCTCTCATTCATCTTGACTGATACACCAAGCAAGAAGTTGTGATCTCTTACAGCTAGACTGAGACATACTACTTTATTCCTCTCTCTCTCTCTCTCTCTCACACACACACATCTCTCTGCTAATTCCATATATAACAAATACAAGATCAAGAATTAGTCTTAATGTCCCAACAACTACTTAGAATTGGATCCATGTAGTTTTTTCTCTTAATCTTTCTAAAATATTTAAGGAATCACATAGAAAAAACTGTTTTCTAATTAAAAGGCTGATTCAAAACAAAATTTAAAGAACAAACTGATTTGCTGCTCCGTCACTTCTCCGAGTCAGGCAGGCTTGCTTGCTGTGAAACATGGGTTGCATCCACTCCAACAAAGACTAACTTGGGTGGAGTTCTTGTGCTGGGTGATTCCTGGGTTTTACTGAGCAGACTGCACTAAGAGCAGTTCTTGGTTCTTGTGCTTCTTCATTTCAATTAAGAGATTGTCTTCCCAGAAACGAATAATTTGTATCGAAGAAATGAGACAACCTTCTTCGTCATGGTCATGCCGAAGCTCCCTAGTTTTTTTTTTGCTTCTAAGTTGTAGGTTGTAGGATTCTTCTTCCTTTAACATGAGATGGAGATGATTTCTTTTCTTTAGCTTGTCCACCATGGAATCACTTCCTTTTTCCAAAGAAAATTGCCTGCTGCTCAATAGTTGGAATTGCTTTGAGAGGTGGATCCTCTAATCTGATGCTTGAATTGATGGTGCTACGAAGCGAAGACGATATCCAATTGCATGAGCTCCTTTATACGCTGACAGATTACTTCGAACACCTTGCACGCGTCCAATGCGCCCTTCCAACCACCAAAATCCGATCTTTATTATTCACGCACCAAAATAATAGCAAATTTAAGGGGCTCGATCACTTCCCCCGACGGCGTACTCGCGGTGGAGAGATCAGAAGAAGAACCACACGTCGCTGTGCGAGGAGAGAATGGAGGAGGCAGGGACGTCCCGTGGGCTCCTGCTTCTAGAGCTTAACCTTCCACGAGCATGCGCCTGGGGCAGTAATTGAGCAGCTCCCCGTCCGTGGGGCGCAAGCGGGACCGGGAAGCAGGAAGGGATCAGATTGTGGTTCGCAACGACGGAGGAAGTCGATGCGTTCGATCTTATGACGAGAATCGCTGTGGATTAACGGCTCTGATTTAATTAACCACAAAACAAGATTATTTTCACGAATCTCTACGCTACTGTGATCACTCAAAGATGTGCATTGTGCAGGGCAGGCCCTGTCTCGGCCCAGCCATACGCCACGGCCTCAGGGTCTGGAACGGCCACCGGAAGCGCTCGTAGTTTACTACCTTATCGGTGCGGGTACGGATCCTATATTTGGAACGAGCGACCAAACACGGGAGAGACACGTCTCACTGGATCCATCCATATGTGGGTCCCCAGTAAGAACCAATGGTAGCTCTCCCTAACAAACATCCTGCAGATAACATATGAGGATTTCCACTCGACAATACCCTAATCAAACCACCAACCCAGCAACGGCCGCAACCCTCCATTAAATCCTCCGCTTCTCTTCCCGTCGTCTTCTGCCTTGCTAACCCTTCCTCGTCCTCCCGCTCCTACAGGAGGACAAATCCCTCTTTGATCTCCGTTCTGCCGCTTCCCACGTGAAACCGAGCGGAGGAATGAGAAAGGAGTCATGAGCCCAGTTCGAGTACATGAAATTAAGAACAGTTACAGAACATGCAAAACTCTGCAGTCGGAATTCGTCACAGAAGTCGAACCATTCTAGAGGAGCAAGCACGCACTAAGATGAACAGAGAGCATTTATAGATGTCTGTTTCCTTGAATAATAACAACAGCAGAGTACAAATAGAGCCGAATTAACTGCTAAGAAATAAGAATTGTAGGAACGGAAAGAGGATTAATGGCGGAACTACCAGGAAAGCTTTCTGCGGCGGAGAGAAGAGGGGAAGAATTGGCACCACCGCAGGTGAGACCTTGCCTCTAATCGGGAACCTTGTACGTGTCGAGGGTGATCTCCGACAACCATGAACCTGGGAACAACAACTGGTACAACAACGAAGATATCATGAAGTGAAAGCCTTTTAACCAAGAAAAAAAGAATCTTTTTTTTCCGCGAGAAAACCAGGGAGGTTTGTTTGAATCAATGGGCTAGAAAGATCAAGAATAAAGAAGAAAAGCACGAATTTTTGGGGGAAAAATCGAGTTTTGAATCGAGAAGTGGCAACAAATTGGACTAGGTGGGCAGAGCGACTCACATCGAGCTGCTTCTGGATCACACGGGGACGCTTTCGGGGCCGCCGGCGGGCCCTGTGCCCCGTCACCGAGTAGATGTCCTCCTCGATCTCCTCCCTCGTGAGAGTGATCGAGAACTTGGGCCGCTCCTCGGGTGCTATGCTTCCCGACCTAAGCCGCACCGGCCTCTTCTCCGCCGCCGCCACCGGCGACGCACTAGTTTGCCGCTCGAACACCGAAGGAGTCCTGGGTCCCCGCCGCCTCGTTCTTAGTTTACACGACCGCGCCATAGATGAGGAAGACGGTTCCGCGTCTGCCTCCGCTTCCCGATCCGTTTTCTTATCAGCGTCCCCGCCCTTGAGCGGCGCCGGCGGAGGAATTGCCAGCTTCATTCGGTCAGCCGCCTCCTTCAGGTGAACGAAAAGCTTTTCCCTCACCTCCTCGACCCCCCTTTCGTCGCCGCTCACCTCGGGAACACGGATCCCGCCCCTCGCCGCATCGGACGCACTCCGGCCGCCCGCGGCGACGGCCTCCCCCTTGCCGTCCACGCTCGTGCAGCGGAACAACCGCTGGTTCCCCCACGTCTTCAGGATCGGAAATGAAAACTTGTGAAGGAGGCTCCCCCGCGCCGCCGACACCGCCGAGTTGGCCGCCTCCGCCGAGAACGCCATGTATCCGGGCCACCCTCCAGCGGTGACCAGATCCAGCCCTAGGGGTTGTCAAAGGGTAAGAACAAGAAGCCTTCTCGAGTCGAGAAATCGCCGAGGAGAAGAGGTTGCCGACGTTTGAAGTCGAAGGCTGAAGGTGAAGGAAGGAAGACAAGGGAGAGGGAAGGGAAGTAATTAAGACGAGGGGGTTATATATCGAATAAAATAATATTAAACGAAGCATCGCTCCGTCCCATGTGTTAAGCCAAACACGCATACGACGATCTATCCAATATCAGGCTGCCACAGTGTCGTATACCGCTTTTCGACCTCTTCCGGCTAAAAATGTAGCCATGTGGTGCCGTGGCAAAATTTTGTTGGCCTGATTGTGAGAGGCGTATGATGCGTCACGCACGGATGGGGGGTGGGGGCTTGGTTTCCCTCTCCTCGTTTCGAATGGACGCTGTGGCCCTCGTGTCTGTCACGTGAGCGTTCCTCCTCCGGGACGATGTGTCGCACGTTGATTAATTGACAAGGACTCTAATAGTGAGGTAATTGACAAGGACGTGACTCAGCCGAGCCATCTTTCTTCCGTGATCTTATCGAACTCCCTTTAGGAGTTGAGTTGTGTGGCACTCAGATTAGATCCATTCAATCCGAATCCACTAGTTTGTTAGATTAAAAACGAGCCTCCAACATTCAACATCTCGGGTTCGATTTCGAACTTTGCAGTCGACCCTATTAGCTTATTGGATCTGAAACGCCCGAAGGATCCGAATCAAGTTAACGGGGAGCCATCTTTTTATGATGCCACTTCTTTTTAACGACAATGACCAACTCGTTTACCAACCGCCGAACCACTGGCGTTGGCCACTTGGTGGGTCCCAGCCATATAGCATAACACAGCGAGTCGTACCTGGGGTGATTTAATTGGAGAACCGGCCAGGTGAGATCCTTTATGGCTTCTTTTCTTTTGCGGGCTCGTCCGTGTGCGGGTTGTCATAAGCCCGCGAGAATTGAAATCGAAACCGCATCCGAAGGTTTCCGTATTGCCTCCTCCTCTTCGTCTCTTCCCCTCTGGATCGAGGAAATGGAAGAAGTCCCATCGATGAGGATCGCCGCAGGAAAGGAAGGGACCGAAGAAGCAGCTGGAGACACAGTGGTTCCGCCAATGGTTGCGACAGAGACGATTAATCTTTCGGTGAAGATGGCAAGGCTGACATCGGATGAGACGGAGAAAGGACAGACGGGCAAGATCTTAATTACGCTGTCGATTTCCAATTACGTTAGTAGGTATCAAGACACAAACATCAAAGGCACGAAGCCCCATTGGGGGCGAAAGAAATGTTTCAGCGCGAGCTTGATGTAAGACACGTCTTGATTGTAGCTTGATTTCTGACCCTTGGTTGTGGTTCGATGCCTTATCCTGTTTTTGTCGATTGATTTCTTATTTCAATGAAATACTTGTTGATTCATCTGCAGATCTCTTCGCTGGTTTAGGGATATCTGAAATAACTCCAGAAACCTATAAAATCGTTTGAATAAGGGGTGCGTCATCCTAAAGTAAGGTTATAAAATTATATGCTATCTATTCTTTTCAAGTTAGAAGCTAAAGGCGTTGCTTTTCTTTGCAGAACTTGGAATATCTGATTGAGAAGGGTGGTTTACTTTCGGGAAAGAAGGTTACAGGTTTTCATTTGCTACCTATTACTTACCTTGATCTTGTAATTTTGGCCAACTTGATTTGTTAGGACATTTTATAAATTTTAAATTATATGGTTTAATAAAATAAATAGAAGGCTTTCGCTTTCTAAAGTGTAAGTTCAAATTTATAGTTACTAAACTATCTTATTATTCTTTTCTTTCACGAGAGGCACAAGAATTACTAATGAAGCTAAAGTAATGCTAGGTCGTGCCGTCATGGAGAATTTGCCTTCTTAGAGCATATTATGTGTAATTTGATGAGATCACATTTAGTCTCATATTGATTTGAGAGTTGAAGAAATCTTTTGAGGATCACCCAAAAGTATAAAATTGTATGAGAACCATCCCAAGGATGATAATACCTTACGGATCTGAGTGTTTATGCAATGATAATTGATAATATACCTCATCAGAGTTAACCTAAGATTTCTTAGGCTAGTTCTCGGTATGCTCAAACTAAAATTATTATTTAAGAGAAACTTGGGCATTAACTATGCAATTCCTAAGCTCCATGGTGGTATCATGCAAACTGAAAATTGCTTAGGACATTATCATGTGAATTATGAGCATATATGGTCACCTAATTTTAGTAGGAAGATGTGTCATGGCAGTTTTCTGATTAATGAACTAGTTACATTTTGTTATTTTCTGAATGTAAGTCACAGCCAGAGATAAGTCGTACTCGGCACCTAAAGGATCTTTTGTGCATTTCATCTGAAGTGGCTTCTCATCAACAAACAAGTAAATTATGCAATTTGTAGAAGCCATTATGATGGATTCGCAATTATTGAAGTGCTTTGCTGCTCTGATATTAATTTTAAAGGGAAGCACTTTATTAATGATTCATGCTTGATGTTTTAGCTGCCATTTATGATTCTTGTTGTAAGGGTAATAAGTACAATTCTCGTGTTGATACAATTAGTGAGTTGGATATGAGATCTGTCAAGCCACATACATATACACCTTTCCTTGTCTGAGATCTCCCTTTGTTTAAATTTCTGAAGTTAAATCAGAAAAAATTACCAACATGACTGCCAGGTACATTTTCCAGTTCCACTAAATTCCTTAATTTCCTAAGAGTATCATCAACACAATACAAACTGCTTATATGAGCACCAAACTTTCCTATCATTACTTGTTAAAAATTAGCATGCCCTGAGAAATAGGACCCGAGGATTTTGGTTTTTTGTTGCTGAATGGCACATAATGTGATTATCACTTCTGTACTCTTGAATAATGTGTTTTCTGGCTTCCTTGAGATCTTTTTGTTCCTGGTCTTCTTGTCTAGTTGCTTGTAGATCACAAAGCTGGAGTGTGGTGTTTCTTCTTCTTCTTCTTCTTCGTTTTCTTTTTTCTGTTCTGCTCAACTTAAATTGTAATGGAACTTTTTAAAGTGAACCTCAGTAGAAGTTGCAGCTAACTCAGCTAGTGATAATCTTGTTATCAGAGAGCAAGTTCTTGGGACTGAGTCCTGCCTACTTTGTCCAAGAAATGGTAGGTTCGTATAGAAATTCTTTGGAAGTTTGGCAATTCAGTTTTAACGTTTGTTGCCATCGCATATAATAAGTAGCATATCTCATAGTTCCGTTTGTAGTTTCTGCTTTAATTACTCGGTTCAAATCTTGACGTACATCTTGTGGTTCTTTAAGAATATATTGGTCATCATCTTTTGTGTGTACATGAGTTTCTTTACCTTTTTCTATGTCTCTGAGAGAGATTGGCTTTTTATCATATGATGATTACCATTCAATCTTTAAAGTATTGTTGCTACTCATGTTAGCTGAAAAAGAAAGGAATACATTTGTTTCCATTCATTGCCTCTTTATTTTCCTTTTGCATGTTCTAAAATATCCTTGGGGTCCCTGAAGTTTGATCTGTGAAAATGCCAAAGCCATACTGTGCATGGTTTACTGGTCCACTACCTTCTTTTCTTTTGCTCGTTCTAAAATCACCTACGGCCCCTGAAGTTTGATCTGTGAAAATGCTACAGCCATACTATGCATGATTTACATGTCCACTACCTTCTTTCTAGATTTCAAGCTCCAATAATCCCTATGTGTTATTGTGCATTCCTGATGGACCATTCTAGTAAATTTATTGTATTTTTTTTTGGAGCGCTCTCTGTCTCCAACATCACATGGAACTCTTGTTAAGTTCCAATTCCCTGGAAGAGGCAACTTTTTGATATGAAATCACTTGCTGTTGCATCTACAAACAAGATGCTAGAGGAAACGTAATGAATGTGTTTATGTCATCAGGTTTCAGATAGTCTTCTTGCCAAAAGGAAAGGAAACATAGATTTTATGATGAGACAAATAACGGATAATTGAAGAGCTGTAGTTATGGTTAAATCACAGAGATTAGACATCACACAATCTTCTGCTATGGTTAAACAGTGACTTAAGGATTGAGATTGAAGCACAAGCTTTATGCTCCAGGAAGCCAGTAAAAACTAACCAGTTTAAACAAGCTTTAAGTCTCGACCCAGTTTGTAGCGCCCAGAATTGGTCAAATGATTTTGCTAATCTCATCTTTTTCTGGTGTCTAAGTTTAAGTTTCTGTCTAAGAAGCTGATCAGGATGGCCAAATGCTGTGTCCTTCTTGCCTTTATGAGTTGTATCAGTGCTTGATGTTCTTGGTCTCAGTTGTTTATACATCCTGTTCTTGTGCGTGCAGAATCAGGCAAGCTCGGGAGCTTGGCAAATGGCAGCTTCTCATCGTCTTTAAAACGCCATGGCAACTGCTGGTCCCAACTCACCAGATATTGAGTATGTCGATCTCATTCACAAGTTTATATATGTGTATGTGTACATATAATAGTGATCCAAGATATAAAATATCAACAGGACAAAGTAATCCGATCAAGCCAAGGAAGATGCATGTTTGATCGGATTACCGGACTGAAATCTTGAGTAAGCATGTTCCCCCGAAGTCGTGATCAGGTACGGGGAACACGTTTTAGGATCTTACGGACAGCCGAATCCCACCCAAGTCTTGTATATGGGAAAACATAACAAGTCTTTGAAAGCGCTCTCCCAAGTGTTACACCGGAGAAACCAGCAGGTCGAGGTTCTCCCTTTTCAAGTCAAAGTACAGTAAGAAATATGTAGGTTGAATTTTCCTCTTTCTCCCTCTTGTCCTTTTCTTTTTGTTTTTATTTCCATTGGGTTGACTTGACCAATCGTCACCACCACAAAGCATATCTAATTAACATCTCCAGGAGTACATTCATCGATTGTGCTCTCTCTCTCTCTCTCTCTCTCTCTCTCTCTCTCTCGCTCAGGTGCTGGCCGTCAAAGGGTCCTCGAAGATTGAGCAGATGAAGCTGATGTTCTGTGGATGTTGGAGGAGGGGAAAGATAGGAGGAGGTGGTGGTGGCAGCGAACAGCAGCAGCAGTCGTCATCGCAGCCGTCACCGTGGAACCTATTCATCGACCTGAAAACGTTGGAAGTCGCCACCGATGACTTCTCCGAATCCAATCTTCTCGGCCAAGGCGGCTTCGGCCCCGTTTACAAGGTAACCTTTGATAATTTATTCTCTCTCCTTGTCTCCTTTACTAACTCTACAATCACTGGCATCATGATTTTAGCCCCCTGCAAAGATACTTCTCCCAATCGTTTGCAGTCAGATGGTTCTTGGATGCTTCTGGGTGTATTTTACACTCCACTGGCTATTTACAATTTATTGAGACGCAATTATTTCGTGCTTGCAACCTTTTCTATTCTAGTTGTTGTCTTCTATATTTATTCTGCGTAAATAGCTTTGAGACGGAATTATTTCGTGGTTGCAGCTTTTTCTAATCTAGTTGCTTTCTTCTATATTCATTCTGCGTAAATAGCTTCACCTGAACCACATGAGATTTCATTCATTTCTATCTACCTAACCTAACTCATAGTGGACCACCTGTCCGCGGTCAACTAATCTTGCTGCAATGTCAACGTCCACAAACACACCCTTGTCTATGATCAAATTTATCGACTTCATCTTGAATCGGAGTACGTTATAAGAACAATTATTGAAGAAATTTTATTGAATAAGTTTTATTGAAGAAGTAAAAAAACTTAAATACATTAATATATCTTTCACCTATTTATACAAATTAGGAGGAATGATTTCCCTCAACAGAATAAGAGATTTCGGAAAATCTTATCTTTTATTATGACCCCGTAAGATGGTGCTCTTGTCAAGGATACTAATCTTGGATCGATGCAAGGATACTAATCTTGGATCGATGCAAAGAATGGTTTACGAGCGAGAGGGCTTCATGAGTAGAGCAAGAGCAGATCGCTATTATTGCTGCGATTGCTGTTGTTGTGAGGGCATAGGCATTCCTTTCGTTCCCCTTAAGTCTGTCATTCGTTCTCCTTAAGTCCGCCGACTGTTGGCAGATCAACGAAGACTATCGTAGTGAAGAAGATGAGGATTAGCCGCGGAGCCTCTTAGGAATTTGGCTGCAGCGGCGTTGGTCGCTGGCCGAAGGCAAGAGCGAAGCTTTGTTTTTCTCAACGACATTGGTCGCTAGCCGAAAGCAAGAGCAAAACTTCGCTTTTCTCACTACTTTGATACCATTATGAAAATAATATAAGATAAGAATAATTATTGAATAAGCTTTATCGAAGAAAAAAAGTTTAAATACATTAACATGTCCCTTTCCTATTTATACTCCTATTTTTACAGATTAGGAGGAAGGATTTAAGCTTTTTCACTTCTTCAATAAAGCTTCTTCAATAATTATTTTTATCTTCTATTTTTTCCATCATGGTATCAGAGCAGGAGAAAACTAAGACCGTTGAGAAAAGCAAAGCTTCGCCTTTGCCTTTGGCCAGGGACCAACGTCGCTGTAGCCAAATTCCTAAGAGGCTCTGTGGCCAATCCTATCTTCCTCACCGCGATAGTCTTCGTTGATCTATCAACAGCGGCGGACTTAAGGAGAATGAAGGGCGGACTTAATGAGAATGAAAGGAACGCCTATGCCCTCACAGCAATCGCAGCAGCAACGATCTGCTCTTGCTCTACTCATGAATCTCTCTCGTAAACCATTTTTTGCATCGATCCAATATTGATATCCTTGACATGATCATCATCTTACGGGTGCATGATAGAAGAAAATCCTCCATTTTTGAGAAAAATCTTTCCTCATAATCTGTATAAATAGGAGAGGGACATGTTAATGTATTTAAACTTTTTCATTTCTTCATTCTTTAATAAAGCTTCTTCAATAAAGTATTCTTCCTCGGTGTTTTGAGATTCTTGGAAGCCCAAATGACACCTAACTTTTGTTTTTATTATTATTATGATTTAACTATCTAGTAACTCATTTTCTAAACAATGTTTGATATGTTAAGCATCCAAACAGGAAGAAAAAGAAAGAATTTTGGAGATGTACTGTTATAGAGAAATCAATCCATCCAAACAAAATATTTTCTAATGGTGATCTGATTTAAATGTGTTAAGAACGCAAAAGACTAATATGCATCTTATTTTTAATATATAATCCTAGTGTGTTTTATTGCAACTATTTTATTCTTTTGTAATTCTCTCCATATTGAGCTCTATAATATGCCTGTTGTTAGGATCATTCTGTTCTATATATACAGATCACCATGATTAATATATTCGATCTATTAGTCATGGATATTGATGGATGAACATTTTTACCAATTAAACAGGGGGTGTTGGAAAACGGGCAAGAGATTGCAGTGAAAAAGCTCTCACTGAACTCTCGGCAGGGGGTGCGGGAGTTCACCAACGAGGTGAAGCTGCTGCTCAAAGTCCAACACCGCAACCTCGTGTCGCTCCTTGGCTGCTGCATCACCTCCGATCAGAAGATGCTCGTCTACCCCTACTTCCCCAACCGAAGCCTCGACCACTTCCTTTTTGGTCTGCATCTATTCATGTCTTCTAAACAAATTCATTTGATTACCAAGAATTCTCTTTACCGATATTTGGTTTACCGCTCGATGTCATCAGGGAACAGCTCCGCGGCAACATTGGATTGGTCAAAGCGTTTTGAGATCATTGGGGGAGTGGCGAAGGGCCTCGTGTATCTTCACGAAGAATCTCCTGTGAAGATCATTCACAGGGACATTAAAGCCAGTAACATTTTGCTTGACGACCAACTAAACCCAAAGATAGCTGACTTCGGCTTGGCAAGACTCTTCCAGGGGGATGATACCCACGTCAACACGTTCAAAATTTCTGGTACCTAGTGAGTTCTCGAGGATGCTGTTCGCGACTTTTGCTTGAGCTGTTCTGATGTCAATGACGGTCACTGTATGATTCTGATGCAACAAGATTGGACATTTTGCAGCGGCTATATGGCCCCAGAGTACGCAATGAACGGCTATTTATCAGCAAAGGCAGATGTCTTCAGCTTCGGGGTATTGGTGTTGGAGATTGTGAGCGGCAGGAAAAATCTCGACAAGCGATTGGATGAAGAAAAGTCCGACCTATTGAGCTACGTAAGTTTGCCAACTTGATATTTGGGGTGCAAAAGAAGCAAATTTTCTTTGGTTTTTAGGAAAGAATTACTGGCCATACAGCGGCGAGTTTATGTTAAGCCTTCTTTGTTGTGATTCATATAGGCATGGAAGGTGTTTCAGGAGGGAAAAGCACTGGAGATCATGGATCCTACCATCCCTTCCGGGAACGGCGACGAAGCTGCACAGTGCATCCAAATAGCACTGTTGTGCTGCCAAGCCGTGCTTTCTGATCGACCCGACATGTACACCGTCCATCTCATGCTTTCGAGCGATTCCTTCTCGTTGCCGAAGCCAGGACGGCCTGGGACTCGCGGAAGAGTAGGGCGATGGACCTCGACGCCCAACTCGACTCTGACCAAGGCCAGCACAAGCAGTGGTGGGTACACCGCTTCTGACACCACAAAAGCTTCCACCCTGTACAGTGTAGCGGAAGACCACTCCCGGAACTCGATCTCGGTATCTTTTACCACAGAGGGTCGGTGACAGGAAGATGCTCACGCAAGTTCCAGGTACCATTTTGTATGCTTGCATGTTTGTCTTCATGTCTTGGATGAGCAAATTTTTTTTGGAGGGCAAAAAAGTATTTTTACTGGGAGATTCAGATCGATGTTGAATGATTGAACCCCAAGACCATGTGAATCTACATAAGCATCATTGTACGTGGATTCACATGTTTTGGAGCCATGTTCAATACGGTACGCCTTGAACAGGCCACAAAATGCCAATGTGCAAAACACCACCACCTCTAGCATCCTCCTTCGAGCTCGAGTTCTTCTTTTCTCTTGGATTAAGTTTGGACTAATCAGCTACCTTCCTCTCTTTCTCAGTCTTGCAATGTAGGTGGTCTTCGAAGAAGAAACATATGTTAGCAGTGGCCAACGTTGCAGAGAGGAGGAGGAGGCTTCTCTTTCGTCTCATGATCCTCTGTAGCATATGGGTGTTCTTCAAGCCTCAGGACGGAGGACTGGCGGTTCCCGTATTACACAGGGAGAACATGATCACCACAAGGAGGAGGTTGGACTCGCCGGGAATTGACAACCTCATCGACGAGAGCAAGCGGCGAGCACCCAGCTCGCCTGATCCCCTCCACAATCGGTAGCTTCTCCATTTCCCTCGCTCGGTCTTTGCATCACTCAATATGCAAAAGTTTTCATAGCTGAAGGCCTCTCCTTTCCCCCCTCCCTTTCCTACTTTAATTGCTGAATGTGATTGATGATGAAGCGGATGTCAGGATCATGGAAGAAGTAATCGAGGACCCTTAAATTGTTGATGAGATCTCTTTTGTTTTATTTTTGATGCATTTTTCTCTGTTTGCGTGGGCTGATTAATCACGTGGTTTTTGTCTTTCTTTTCCTCCAATTCTCCCCATTCTCTCAGGATTCGAGATTAAAATATAATAACCAAATAAAACAGTATAATTCTTGCTATTATTATTATTTTTTATGCAGCCAACATTTATGTCTAGTGTGATTCGGTGCCTTGGCGGATCTATTTTATTTCTACTATTAATAATTAAAGATTAAATATGTAACACCCCTTAATTATACAAGGCTTTAAAATTTGCATGACACTTGTCCTAATCCGATCCATCCCATTGAGCACTGAGCAGTCCTCATGGTCTCCTCGGCCGCCGCCGCCGTCTCCCGCTCCCTGCCGATCTAACATGGTCTTCTCCCGGCTCCCCAGCAACGGCGGAAGAATGTGTGGCCGATCGAGGTCGTGAAGAAGCTTAAGACCCTGTCCTACCCTCCTCAACTGGGTTATGAATCCTTTCTCGTGCAGATCCAGTAACCTTTCCCATTCATGTAGTTTGCAGCAACGTATAGCTTGCGTCGAGTGTACGAGCCTCCTCCGGGCTTCTATCTAGATTGTGAGCTGCACTGGTGGAGTTTGCTTGTTCTTCAGCTCGGTTTTGGATCTTTGTTTTCTTGGATCCGATCACTGTTTGGCGAGGAAGATTGAAGTCTCGGCTACATAAAAATGATTGTTTGCTTTCCCATGGATCTTCTTGACGTTGTCTGTTGTTGATCTGTTCTCTGCTGTGGCTGGCGTTCTTGTCTAAAACACGTGAAGCATATATGGGTTTGTGAGAGAATCTGCGAGAACCTGAAATTTCAATGCTAGCTGAAACAGTATAAAGGAAGATGAACTATAGTCGTCGACTCAATCATCAAACTGGTCTCTATTGTTGTACCAATCGACTCTTTAAGTCGATGAACTGTGCCCACAGACTGTCACAACACACGAGTATAGATGAGATACATCCTCGAAGACTTTTTAGTTGCAGGTCCTTCTCGAGGCTCAGGACAATGACTTCCAACCCCCCAAGGCCATGGGCTCCATGAAAACACAATAATACCATGGCCACTGGATTCAAATAATTCTCAACTCATCTTTTTTTGGTTTCTAATGTAAAGTAGTCACCAAATCCAGCCTTAATTCACATATATAGAAAAAAAAAAAAGATAAAATGAGGTTCAAATCATAACTCAGATACAATGGATCCAATTTATTTCCCATCCTTTGGCTTTTTGCAGAAAGGTTTACATAATTCCAACCTTAATTAATTTGATCCTGAAGAGCTGTGAGAGAGAGGGAGAGAGAGAGAGAGGGAGAGAGAGCGATGACATAGAGATAATGTAAATGTAGCGTCACCGCCGCGGGGCTCCCACTCGTTCATTGTTCTCTCGCGGGCTCCGCGTTCAGATCGAAGGTCCCGGAGATGCTCACTTCCGCCGCTGCCACCTCCTTCGACCTCTCTCTTTCTCCCCCGCTCTCCGCCGCTGCATCCGCACCCCTCTTCCTCTTCCTCCTCCTCCGCCGCTCAATATCCTCGACGGCGGCCGCCGCCTTGAAGTCCTCGCACTCGAAAGCCAGCCGCCACCTCCGTACTCCCTGCCCCTTCGCCTCATCGCCGCTGCCCCCGGCAGCAAAGAACCTAGTCGCCTCCCGCATCCGCTGCAGGATGGCGAAAAACTCGTCGACCTGGTCGTCCGTCACCTCCTCCTCCTCCTCCTCCTTCTTCTTGAACCGCCGCCGGGTCCTCCTCTCCTCCTCGCCGCCGTCGAAGTCCGATCGCTTCTTCGACGCCATCGCCTCTAATCTCTGTTTCTCTCCGCCTTCTCTTTGCTGAAACGAGAAGAACTAATAGCAATTAAACTGCGGTCGGCTTCGGACGTCGTAAATACCAACGTGTGATGACGCGACATGCGTGACGTCAGCCACATGGCATTACGAGAGCGGATATATTTTTATTTGACCAACTCGACCGCCAAGTCAATTTGATACTTTAATTTTTGGGTACCTCGTGATGGGATCAGGACCGTCCTTCCCTTTTCCTGTTATTTTGGCAAAGATTACGCGATAAAGGATTACGATCCAACCGTCCGTTGGCCTTCAAGGAACTGCGTACATCTCAAAGCATGATGCAAGCAGATCACTCCTTGCAACGTATGCATTGAACAGTAGATATGCTTCCGTTTGACGGACTTGGCCACCAAGTCAATTTGGGTTCAGAGCTAGGAGAGCGTGCACTTCAATATTCGGATTTCTTACGATGAAATCAGGACCGTTCTTTTATTATTATTATTATTATTATTATTTTGGCCAGGATTAAGCAATAAAGGATGCCAATCCAACCGTCTGTACGCCCTCGCGCATCTGCACAAATCTCGAAGCATGATGCATTCACATCACGCGTGGTAACGTATGCATTAAACAGTGGACGCGAACTCCAAATCCAAAAAGATTTGGGGGTATCAAAGATTATTCTACTGGAGGATCTGCGGCCGCCATCACATCGCCGGACAGTGGAGTTGGAGGGAGACAGAGAGGATGCATTCGTTCGCGTACCGCCTGAACACCCTCCTCACCTTCTCTCTCCTCCTCCTCGCCGTCCTCTGCGGCGCCGCCTCCTTTCTCGACGCCTTCAATTCCCCCCTGTCCGCCTCCTCCTCCCATGTCCAAGCCAGTGCCCAGGTACCGTCTGTTATGTCATCTCATGTCGATCTCTCGATTTGATGTGTCCGATCGACGAATGCTACCATGTCTCGGTCCTCGATCGTCGTCATCATCATTATATCTGTTATTTCCCCTTTTCTTTCGAGACGAGGGTTACAAGTCCGTGATGCCATCCATACCGAGGTTTGCGACTCATAGATCCGTCGTTTTTTGGCTGGATTCTGTGTCGGGATTGTTGTTTTCTTCGGAAAGAAGTAATAGTGACTACTTTCGTCGCGAGTTCTGCTTGTCTTGAGAAAAAAAATGGGGTCTTGTCTTGAGAAGGGAAAAGTGTTAATTGTTTGGTATCCCCTACGCCGTGGAATGTTGACGGGTAGAAATTGAACCGAGTTGCAATCGGCCAGCAATCGCCAAGGCTTGCTTAAGAAAAGAACGACTAGGGTTGCTACTCGTCGATCCGTCGTTTTTAGGTTTTATGCCGTTGTGGGGATTGCTTCTCCTTGGAACCACGAGTTGTGCTATGTTAGGGATCTTTTAGGACATAAAAAAGGTGTTCACGGTTTCGCATCAGAGTTGAACTGAGTTGCAGTCTGCCAGCAATCACCTATGCGTGCTGAAGAGACATATGGAAATTAAATTGAAATTAAGAAGTGCTTAAAATTATTTTCATTGTTTTTCCGTTTCCACAGTCACTGAAACAAAAACTAACCAATAGGATGATGGAAAAGAAGCAAAAATAGTCATAAGGTTTTCAAATACCAAGTTGGCTTCATGCTTTTTGCTCACAATTCCACATGTAAGCACATATGCATGTTAGGTTGCTCAACTCGAGCAGCATTCACTAAATTTGAATAAAAATTTGTGCTCAACATGTTGAAAATTTGTACTTTGTACAATGTAACCAACTGTCCTTGCATTATTTGGAGGAACATAGTATTATGCTTTACGACATTATTACTTATTAATGTTCTCTAATTTGGACATGGACATTTGGATGCAAGATTTTTGGAGTGTCAATTGTAAACTTTAATATGTGAATTAAATTTTGTCAGATGGCTCTTTCTCTCAGGTTTTTGTAAACAGTTTCTATACAACCAGAGGTCGGTCTATGTACATCTAGCCCTTCCAAATCTTCTAGTGGCGAATGCGTTGGGCCACTTAGTTCCATTTTCCTTGTTGTGGTCAAGTCTTTGAATGATGATTAACTGCTTGTGCGACCTATTGGTGATCTTAAGGGAATTTTTTTTGTCCCTTGCAGGTGCTTAAGGTTAATCGGTTTCGGAGGCAGCTGAATGGGGCTGATGAGGTAATTTTTCACGAATTTACATCTCTTGTTGGGAAAAATTTTGTTGCATGTTTATATGCACCAATCTTGTTACCTTTCTGTTTCCACTTTGGACCCTTTTTTTAATCCCCTAAATCCAAGATGAGTAGTGATTTGGATCTTATGGGAATATGCCAGTAATTCTTCTTTCTGAAAGTCTCTATCATTTTGCTTTAACATTTCTTTTACTTCATTATCTTAATGTACTTCTGTTAAATTTCTCAGTAATGAATTTTTTGTTTTGCATTAAGTACACATTGCTTATATTTTTGATAAATTTGATTTTTGTCCATTTCGTCTACATTTTCGGAGCTATTGCAGTGTATTCCTTTCAGAAGTTGCTTAAAGCAAAATAAAGTCTCATTCTTACCCACCTCTTCAAATTAGTCATCTCTTACTTTTCCGTACTCAAATTCAATCAGTTCTTCGACATTCTTCATACACCCAATTTTGCATTAGATGTCTCTCTCTTAACATTGGAAGTTTTAGTGGTTTTGATAAGGAGTTTTCTGTGTTTTCTGTCTCCTGTAGTTCTTGCTTTCTTTGCTGATGAAGTAATAGAGGAGAGTTGCCAGGGTGGTTGAGTAGAAGTTATGTAGCACTAAAATGAAATTGGCCTTTCAGATTTGGGTTTGCTTGTCGAGCACTTTATTAAACTCGTTAATTAGTTTTTTTTAATTTTAACTAGTCATGATGACATTAAAAGACATTGGCCTATGTGGTTTTTTATAGACTTCTATATATAAACTTCTATATTACATGTGCTTATAACATAAAAACATGATCTCCATATGTAAGTTCAAATAAAAATGTTTTGTACTGTATTCCCATACCTCATAGTCTCATGTGGGTCTTAGTAGGTTTTTCATCTTTTATGTCTTATATGAAGCTTCTCAGTCATTACAAAGTGTCTGAAAAAGGTTGTTACCTGGCAGGTTAGCTTGACATTCAATGTTTCTTTGGACGTGCAGCCACTGTTTACATGGAATACGAAGCAGGTACTTTGTGGACTGATGCTAAGTAATTTGACTGTCTTCTAATAGAACAATAGATTATGGTGAATTTCATATAGTTACAATGTGTTGTTCTATTGTTGATGCCACAACACCTCATGGTAAAAGCTCCTGGGTGAAGCAGAAATCTATTGATCTTTACCATCCAATATGAGTCAATTATACTTCAATACTGTTCTTTTGTTGGATTGTTATAATTAGGGAACATCGACCAAGTTTTGAGCAGTAAATCATCTTATTTTTGCTAGCAAATTTCAACTATCCAAATATTATCAAAGACTTGCATGTACGGTCAGTTGTGTGTTCTCATCCTCTTATTGAAGTCTGTTTGAGAGATTCTTTTGCTATCACTTCCAGAGTTGTAAATAGGTTGTGTTGCACTTTAAAGGCTTATATATACTATGGAGTCTCTGTCTCAAAATAAATGGATAATATTATTTTTCATTTTCTATTAACCTCCTTAATTTCAGGTTTTTGTCTTCCTTGCTGCTGAGTACGAAACTCCAAAGAATGCCCTTAACCAGGTGTGTCATTTATTACCTGTGGGTTAGCATTGGTTGCTAAAAGCCTAAAATTCACTTTCATGGTTTACTAATCAAAGTTGTAATTTGTGAATCATGTGGTCACTTAATTTCTATACAAGAATATCATGAACACATGTGAAATATATTTGTTTCACTTATTTTCTATCCCAATGCATCCCCTGTTATTGAGAAACTGTCACCTTATTAATAAACTAATGTGGTATATTTGGACTAATGGATTATTCTTTACTTAATTGCTAGAGTCTAGTTGGAAAGTAATCTTCTAGTGAACGCTCTCTATGGTTGTTCTGCTCTTAAAGCGTCTGGGTCTAGATTCATATTGCTGGTTCTGACATCTCTAAATGTGTCGAGAGTTTATTACATCAACTGATATATTGTTTTTTATGAGCCGAGTGATTCATTTCAAGGTGGCAAACTACTTGGTGTTTTTGGATGGTATTTGAGTTTTCAAAACTGATATATTTATGTTTGATGAACCTGGTGATTCGTTGCAATGGTGGCAAACCACTTGCTGCTGTGGATGGTATTTGAGTTGTCGGCCCATGTTTCCTTGTTTGTTCTTCTGATTTCGAAGTTCCGTGACAATTTATGGAAGCTGCATATGTTCAGCAAATTAACATACTTGTTCCGCATAAGTTAATTTTGTAATCGTTAACTTTGCTTTTAGTCTTGGGAAACCTTGGTTTGTTGGTTACAAATCATTTTTTATGATCTTTTTCCCATGTTCAGATCTCGCTATGGGATCACATAATCCTGGATAAGGACCAGGCAAAGTTCCAGACAAAGGTGACCACCAAGTATCCTCTAATTGATCAGGTTAGTTTACCCGGTTTTGAATTTGTTTATTACTTGTGAATATTTTGTCTTTCGTGGCATATGTTGTACAATAGTAAATCTTCGATGAACTGTTAAATGTCTCAGTTTAATTTTTTTTTTTACCAATTCAATAATCCAGGGAAGCAATCTCCGTGGTAGAAAAGTTGATCTTATTCTCCACTGGCATGTTATGCCTAAGACTGGCAGAATGATCCGAGACAAGCTGCACCTATCGGACTTCCATCTGCCGGAGGCTTATACGTAGGTACGAGCTTAACATCTTTAGGTACTTTTATACTGCTAGTTAGAACCGGAAGAGGGCTTTTTTTTTTATCGGTATCGTGTATGAATCAAGTGAATTTGAAAGCAGAACATCTGCTGGTTATCAAAAAGGCTATCGTCTTGCTCCAACCTCATTTTACCGGATACAATGAATAAAAATGTTTGCGTCATGATTCAATCTCAGAACCTTGCCACCATCGGTGGTCATGAGTTTTACATGTTATTCTATCAAAAACCTAGTTTTGTGGATATTATCCATGGTTGCATCAGCTCAAGGCAGCCTTAGTCACCGTCTTGGCATATTATTTTCGTTTGTTACTCATAAGGGTTAAGGGTGGGATTTTATCTCAGGACAGGATCTTAGTATTTTATATTTAATGTTTTTATCAGTTAAGATTTTTATCAGTCTTTTATATTTATGGTTATGTGATCGATATCTCACAATCGTATGATTAATATATTATCTTCACGTTATCAACCTTATTCAGATGATGTGACAGCAAATAATGTTACACCAATTAAGAGGTCGACTCAATCTTATGAGGTGGTCAATCGCATCATACAATCATAAAGCACACGATCAATCAAGAAAAATATATTATAATTCTCGCCCCGAACCTAATGGTCATTTTATCATACTATTTTCTACTTTGAATATAAATTAATTTTTGTACATTTGATACTTCACTAGCTAGGGATCTGAGGCTTTAATGAATTAATATTATTACTTCACTGGCTAGGGATCCATGGGTTCACGAGGCAGGTGTTGTTGCGATGACTAGAATTAATTTTTTCACCGTAGAATATATTATATGTTTGATCGTAACATCCTGATTAGTTCCATATCGAATATATTCTATTTTTTTATCGATAAAATTAAAAGAATTAATATTAAATATTTTACTTATGTAATTATAAGAATCTTAATATATAAAAAAGATTGAGATAATAATCATAATTAATTACAGAATATGTAATTATCGTTAGGAGGTTCTGAGGACCTGGAGACACCGCGATCCGGCAGCACGGAGCTGTGGAACGTCATCAACATGACGGGCGACAACTACCCGCTGCACCCGCACCTGGCGACGTTTCAGGCGAACAAGGTGGTGGAGCTGCTGGACCTGGCGGCCTTCAGCAGCTGCATGACTACTGCAAAGGGGGACGCGTCGAGATGCAACGTGGGGGCGCACGCTGTGGGGAGGGAGCTGCCGGTGCCGGACCACGAGAAGACGTGGAAGAACATAGTGAAGATGGAACCGGGTTACATGACGACGGTGGTGGTGGTGGCGTTCAAGCTGGTGGCCGCGAACCAGAGCTATGTGAATTCGCTCCCATCTCTCTCTCTTTGGTTTGCCGCTTCATCGTTTCCTCCTTACTGGATACTGCCTTCTGCAAATACTGGATCACGAAGACAATGCTATGATGTGTCCACTAAAATTGCTGCCTTGAAAGAGAGAGAGAGAGAGAGAGAGTCTCAGAAGAAGAAAGTATTGAAGACAGGCGATGGTTGCTGCATTGTGTGGATTGCATTTGTATGCCAATGAAGAATAAGGACGGCATTGGAGTTACTATTAGAGATGAGGCTGCATGATACTACTTTGACCAAGTCAACTGCAATAAACTATAAATGAATTCTGGTCTGTCACTCATAATCATAATCAATCATATGATATTGCTACTCTGTGAATTGAACTAAGACAAAATTAATGATAACAAACTCATCTTACCTTATAAATCAACTCAATTTTCTCCCATTTTAGTAGGAGATTAAACTAGATATCACAATACATTGATTGATCAAAAAATAAAAATAGATAATATAATCTGCAACAATAATATTCTCGAAAAAATTGAACCAAAATTGAGGGCATGAAAATTCTCCCATAGCGAAAGATAAAAACACTGCAATGCAAGAAAAATTAGATCTACAAAGGTTGGAAGAATTTGAGTATACCGTTTTTCTTAATCCCTGCGCTCTTATTCTCGTTCTTCGTTTTAGGCCTCCCTCTCCGAGTCTTATCTTTTCCGATGGACGTTGACTTATTCGGCTTGGACTCCACACTTTCCTGTGACTGCGGCGAAGAACACACCGTACCAAGAGAGTTTTCATCTTGTGTCACCACAGCCAGTGCCGCCCTCTGGTCATCCTTTTGAGAACTACTCTTTTCTAGTTTTCTCTTCTTGAATGGATTGTTATCAGGTACTGATGCCTTATCTACTTCAAGCTCCATTACTTGATGACACTCTGCTGGTGCAACCAACATACCCAGCGCAAAAGCTTCTTTAATGTACTTCTGATCCAAAGCCGTCTCTCTTGCAACTGTTGATACATCAAACAAGCTGAAGAATCAGTAGAACATCAAACAAAACAAAGTGCCAGCACATATACTTCTGGATTAGTTTGCTCACTTATAATGCCTTTTAACTTGACTAGTAATTTTGCTGTAGATAGAGTTTGATGGCAAAAGATGTATACATTCGACTCCAAATTACTAGCAGCCTATAAAGAAGAGCTGGTCAACTTACCGATAAGCTTATCTTCTATATGCTCTTCATGGTTTTGCTCAGATGAACACATTGTAATGCAACTCCCCTCTGTGAATGAGATTCTCAATTCATCACCAGATGTACGATAGTAGGATAGGACGCTGACAGACTCCGAGCACATTTCAGCGTTAGGGAGATAGTCAAAATGTTGCATGGTAATGGGGTTCAATTTGCCTTCGGCGACAGCAGCAGCTACTGATTGCGGGAGCTCACTTGGTGATTTCAAAAATCAAAGAAAATTCATGGGAAAATTTGAAGCAAATAACATATCAAAGCGAGAAACAAGCATTATTGTGACGATTGTTTATAGTGGTGATTATATTGTGTTATGGTGTCATGTAGGATACGGTCCAAGAAGATCCAGATCACCATTTAGAAACTCCAGATGCTTCTCTTCTAAAGGCTTCAAATGTTTTAATGCTCGTGTAGCCATATCATATCTGCATATAACAGAATGCATAGATAAGTCGATATGATAGAAGTCAGTTTGTGCCATAAGTTTTACATGGCATATCTTACACTCGAGCATGGTGAAAGACTGCAACTGCTTTCCTAAAAGACTCGCAGTAATCTTCTGGCATTTTATATCGCTTGTCAAGTCTCAAAACTGACAGAACCTGCAAAGCATGAGGAAGGAAAAACACAAAGTTAAATGAAGACAAAACAGTAGCCAACAAGAAATTAAGATGAAAAAATATGATAAATATACATATATAAAGAAATATATAAGATTAAAATGTTCCTTGGGACATTAGACACATACATCAAACCAAACAGCATTTTGCTTAAGAACAGTACAAAATCTGTATACTAGGGGCATAATTGTGCAATACAATCAATACAAGTAGGAATTCCTAAGTTTGTTACCACAATTTTTTTATTGGAGTTCTAAATGGACAAGCATAAGAATGGAACAAATGGGCTTACACGATCTAAGTTCTTGTACTTGGAGACAAAAGAATAAGCTCTCTTAATCCCAATTCCTGGAATGGAAGGAAGGAAGTCGCATCCAGCCAGGACACACATACCTGTCAAGATATTGAAAAAATATAACACATTGAGCGATGTCATAAATTATGCAAAACTTTCTCAAATCTGCAAGAACAAATTCAAAATTAGCTTGACAACCAACAACGAGCAATAATAGAACCTCACCCACAACAAAATGATGCTAGTTATTTCGAGTTGATGTACAGATTGTGCAACAACAATTAGCATGTGATTAAAAGAAATGATGGATAAGTAGGAAAAATAGAACACTAAAATTGAACTCAATAAAAGCAAAAATTTAGCTTGAATTTTATTCAATTTAAATTACAAGCAAGACATGGAGCGAAAATATTTTGAAAACTAGATCACAAAAGATCTTAAATGTGATAAGCTTTTAGAAGATGGGAGAAAAGTTTAATAACATAGATCAGATATGGAGGAAAGAATAGTTAAAAGCATGTGATTTAGTTTATGAGAGAGTTCCATGAGCAAGAACCCAAGAAGATTGGTTGGTTAAACCAAGGTATACAATACCGTACCGTACCGATGTTTCGAGGTTGGCTTGGTACGGTACGGTATCATGTACCGAGCGGTACACCTAATTTAGGTGTAAAACCCTTCGAAAATATCTGAAAAAAAAAAGTTAAGATAGAGTTTTTAAATTAGAAATAAATATAGCAATAGCATAAGTTTAGTAAAATCAATGTAAATTAGATAAGAATAATATCACATATCTTTTTCGAGCTTTGAAAAATATCTTGTGCAAGGTTCATATTTTAATCCATTACGGATTGTCCTTATGTTAACATTGAAATATCTACAGAAAAAATTATTTAAATTGTTAGACTATTTTGTTATAATATAAACTCTAAAATTCAAGTGAATTAAATAATCACGTATGTAGATATACCTGATTGCTGATTCTACCACCAAAACGAACGACGAGCCTCCACGGGTGGTGGATCGGGGTCCTCGATCCTATACATCTGCATATTAATATGATATGTTTGTTGGACCCAATCATAAAATTGATCACATGACATAGTGTATTGATACATCGTATGCCATTGATGCATCAATATAGTGTTGATCGTAGGTTGATCATCATGAATCATATTCGTCACAAATCGTTATTTTATAAAGTTTAGGAGAGCATAAATGTGAAAAAAAAGAGTTTGAGATAGTTTAAGAGAGTATGAGAATGTAATGGACTGAAATAAGAAAGAAGAATGGTTTAAATACTATGAAAAAGGGCTCCAACGATCAATTTGACCGTTAGAGCACTGTAGCACTGTTACAGTGCGATAACGATCGATTTCGACCATTACCGCCCGATATTACCTCGTATCGTCCGATACGGGGTGCTTTTAAACGCTCCGCCTGGTAGCGAGCGGTCCGCGTACTGGTATACCGTCGGACTGGTACGTACCACCCGTACTGAGCGATACCATTCGAAATTGCATACCTTGGGTTAAACCTTATATGCAAGGCCTTATAAACAGTGAAAAGAGGACAAGGTGAGACTAGAGTTATCACTATGTAGAATGCAAGAATACAAGTTAAAAATCAATGCACGACTCAAGCTCTGCCATCCCTACTTGTAGCGAGTTTCAGTTAGAGAATAGATGGATCATTTACTATCTAGAATTACTTCCTCATATGGTTATTGTTACGAGTTACAAAATATAGAGGTAGAAGAAAGTTTGAAATGCAAACCATAATCATTTAGATTCATTTGTTGAGTAGACAAACTGAGACTTAACAATTGTCATGCAATTAGTGAACTAATTAATACTTATTACTTCAAGAAAGTCGAGCAAATGCAAGTGTGACCTGTGAGCAATTCTTTATCAAAATCCTTGAAGGAAAGTCCATCAGAAGCACTCTTGAAGACTTTGTCCATAAGAATTTCCTCACCATTACCATAGCGGTCCATCTTAAATATGATCTACAACAACATGCATTCATGAGAAAATCAACAAAAGGACAATTTAAGGAACCTATGGTTTCAGTTTTCTCACAGCCTGGCAACCGTATGCAATGAGGTCGCTGTCTTCTGTTATTACACCTGCAATGCCTCCTTGATCAGGTTTGAGGGAAGATAAGTATGCTAATTGAGCATCGGCCTCATAGGGAGCAACTATGAATTCCACATCTTCTGATCTTAAGATCTGTCATAAAAAAAACATATAACAATTAAAGCTATAAAATAGAAAACTAGGTCATAATCATAGGGAAATTACCTGAATCAGCTTATGAGCCATCAAAGGCGTGACATGTACTGCTTTCTGGAGGTGATACTATAAATGTTAGAAAAAAGACCAAAAGGGAAAGAAATAAAGGACAACAAAAAGGATCAAAATAAATTACTTGATCAAAGACACCACTTTACAAGATTGAAACAACATAGCAATCGTGCACAACTTATTAGAAAAAGAAGAAAAAAGATAAATGTGGTGTATAAGCCAACCATATCGAAAGCTTCCTGCTCTCAAGACTGACAAAATCTAGAGAATTCTAAATTCCTGATCTTGTGGGCTTGCCCAGTAACTAAGCAGCAAAAAACCAACATAACATCAATAATAAGACGATATGTGATGTATACTGTAAGTGGACATGTCTAGATTGTAACTAAATTTCATAGAAAAGAACAATAGTACATTTCTTGTACAGAATATGTAATTTTGAGGAAGATAGGCTTTCCTCAAAATATTGTAAAGACAAGGAACCAAAGCTTGTGAAAATGTGATTGAATCTTCTGTTTCTTATGCACAAAATTTGACAGACATGCTTCAGCAAAATTTTAAAGTCAAACAAGCATATCTATATATCAAATTACTTGCCTCTCCAGGCTGCTCCTCTCTTTTCTCTGCTAAGGGCAGTTTAGTCATGTTTTATGTGAGTTCCTGAATTAAATTGCCACTTTAGCATGACTCAGCAAAACTCACCCCAAACGCCTCGTGATATATAGCATTCATAGTTCTCCTTTTGAGATCTGTTTTTTTTTTCTTTCTTTTTTCTCGTACACATCTAAATCCAAGGATTTAGAAATCATGTCATACCAGAAATAAAAGCTTGGACAACCATTTTCTGCCCTAGTATTTCAATGTCTTTGAAAGTAAAAAAAGCATTTCTGTTATTTTTATGTATTATCTACATTGATAAACCCAAGAAAACCACTTTGCATGTTGCTACAACTAAAGAAGGATAACTCTTTCTGTCAGAGTTAGCTTACAACTATACCAATCGATACAATTTTGCTACTGTACACATGTATCCAGTGACTTAAGTGTACCAATGAAGGAGAAATTACCTGGAAAAGTTCAATGGCACCTGCAGTGTTTCCTTGCTTGAGCTTCTCTTTTGCCAACTCAAAATTAGCTTCTCTTCGCCTAAATTAAAATAAACATCTGTTCAGAGGCATAACACTGCCCAAATAAACAGTTTACACAAACAATTTGAACAGCCACACAAAGAAAATGGCAAACAAAAATAGTAACATGTTATGCTAAACATATGTATATAACTATGCTTCTATCCCGCTTTGTCTTATTGGTAGTTCATATTCGTGTAACATCTATTGTAGTTTGTTTGAACCTAACCAAATAAAACAAACCATTCACCTACAGCATGATAATGAACATCCTGGGAAGAACAATACAGCTAAATTGCATCAGTTTCTGCTTCTTCCTTTCACTTGCCTGTGGCGCTCATGATCCGTGGCGGACTTACAAGGGATGCTGCCACCGTCAAAGACGACGACAGGCATGATCTTGTAATGCCGGAGGAGATTGATATGATGCATAAAGTAGTTGAGATAACGCCTCGCAGCTTCACCCGGCATGTCGAGGCAGAGCTCCATACTGCAAGAATAAGCTGCCCAAAAGAGTGCACGATAAACCACCAAACATCTAGGATTACCAATCGACGCGACGCGTTTTGTTTGCGTGGTTCCAGCTGCTCACCTCCCTTGTGGAGCCACGAATAGGCATCGATGCCCACCTACCGGAAAGAAGAACAAAGCAAAACATGAAGGAGATCGGAATAACATTCATTAGAAACCGCAAGAAAACTACAAGGGTCCAAAACAATCTACCCTTTTCCCGGCGTATTTCCTGATGTGGACGGGACGTATGAATGGCTTCAGGAATCTGAGGAGATTCTGGATGCCCATGTGTCGGATCCCCAGGTGCTTCTTCTTCTTCTTCTTCTCCTCCTCCTTCCCACCCTCCCCTCGCAAGATTGGGATCGCCGGTGCCACGGAGGGGGGATCAGAAGAGAGAGGAGAGGGAGGGTGGTGACGGCGACGACGAGGAGGGGACCCAAGACAGTAATATAAAAAGGGGAAGGGGGTTAAAATAGAGAACTCGTCTTCCCGCTTCGATCCATTCATTCCTACTCGACTTCGCGGCCTTTCCCGCCTTTGTCTGCTGCGCTTCTGCTGTCATGTCATCAAATAAACCCTCGTTACTCTTACAAATTACAATAGAGGCTTGGATTTAGAAACAATATATTGGGTCGGATCAAGTTTCCTGTTTTTAGAAACAATTTCACCTCCTCTTTTTATTCAAATTAATGTAATGGTCCTAATATTAGCACTATACATTCATTTTAAAATTACTCATTTTGTGTCCTGAGTGAGATTATATTACTGTTGTCAACTAGCTTAAGTTCACATCTCACTTTCATCATCTATCCTTTCAAAAAAAAAAAAATACTGCAGAAAATATTGTGCTTAAGAGAAATCAGACCACCATAAATAGGATATAGAACACTAGGCAATAAAGAGAACAAATCATGATAATATGAAAGGCCAAAGTAAAGATCCTCAAAGGTGCAAAGAAGCTGTGTGACACTGATGTGAGGTAAATCAGCAACCTCATTTGGTTTATACAGCAACCAGTATGTACCCACATGAATACAGCATAACATGAAAGAATCAAAGACAAATAACACTCTAGGAGAGGCCTGATCTCATCTCACTTAACATAATCTGCACTAGTCTGCATAACATGTCAAGACTCTATCTCCTTGGAAGATGCTTACCATAGAGACAACATGTGTCCACAAAAGACATTTGCTTGCTCATTTCTATGCATATGGAAGTAAGTTCTTCTGGTTTATCTAACATCAGTGGATATATGGCACTCTGGCATTTGGTGGAAGACTCAAACAACATCAGCAAATAGCCCACAAGTCATGGACTTTCTTCAAAAATGATTTCATGGACCCCCCCAATAGAGTAGTGTGTCATTGCAGCTAACTACCATGTAGAACCTTTGAAGTCGTACCAGCTGAGAGAGAGAGAGAGAGAGAGAGAGAGAGACCACCAACCACATGACCTCCATCTTGGTATAAGCTATGCAGAAATCTCTAGTAGTGATTGAGATGAGAAAATGAAATCACCTCGTGTGGGGAGTAATTGCTGCTGAACATGCCCCAACAAAATTAATCTTGATACTCGAATAGTTATGAAATTTTCAGACTTATCTGCACGAGCTAGATTTTGACTTCCATTCCTCTACCACCTTTTTCATCAATTGTTCAAACTTCTCTGCTTGAGGCCCAGGTCTGACAATGTCAGCATTGCCCCACTGAGAGCATGGATCCATCCACCATCTCCTCTTGCCAGAGCACCAAGCCCCAGGAACGGCCTTGTAGTAGCGACGTTTCAGTATCCTGCTATCAATTTTATCTAGCACTGCATCACCCTGACGGAACTGCCTAGCAAAAGGCATTCCACTCTCTGTCATCTGATCAAAATCTGTCATGTTAAGAATGTGGGGTTCCAGCATTGGAGGACTATCCCACACCATATACCTTAGGTCACTGTTCACTGTTGTATTCTGAAAATTAGGAGAGTTGCATAGGACCGAATGAAAATAACCTTCTTCGGACAACATTACATTTGTGAAGTACAAGAGAAGAGTGCGAGCTAGATTGTCCCAACCCAGTATGCAGTATTCTATGAAGGACCTACTCAGGATAACCCACGGAGAACCTGTTGAACAGTAAATCGAAAGAACACATCATCAGACTCAGATGTGCAAAAGTTTGAAATAAGCATGTTAGAAGTTTAGGATAAGATAAACTGCCTGTGAAGAACTTGAAAGATTCAGGGGTGACCCGATTCTGAGAAGCTTTGAAAAATGACTTCCTCTTTGCCAAATAAAGCCCGGCATCAACTATAATTGGTTGAACCCTCTGATTTCTGCAATGACAGTTCTGGAAGTTAATGAAAGACAGCGGATTTAACTCTCAGGAATAAGACAACGGCAGAACATTTGTGATTACTCTTTCCATCCAAGATCACTGGTGTGGTCCACGAAGCTAAGGTTCCTTGGCACATTGGAGAAAACATAAATCAAATCTGAAACAAAAAGAGAACAAATAATCAGCACTTTAACTTCTGGATAGCAAATATATTATGTACCTGAACATAAATGCAAAAGAAAATTGAAGACATCCTTCAGATAATCGTTCTACAAGATATCTTATTCAGAGAAGAACATTCATCATGTTCATGCAAACCTAAAAACTAAAATGTCAAAAAAGAAAGATTTATCATCGTATTTTATAAGATATAAATCTACTGCAGTCCACACATGGATAAGGAGAAAAATGGGAGAGCAAACATGCCCATTTGCTTCCCTGGTATTGCCAAGTCCTTGCTAATATACTTTTGGTTTTAGCAACATAAACCGATGTAAGAGTACTTATCTAACAGAAGAATTAGATACTTCAAGAAGCTCAAGGTTGTAGGATTCACAAGAGGGTGGGTGTTAGCTTGATACTTAATCAGCACACGAAAAAATGTACGCATATCCAGCATGTAGCTCAGCAGAATAGCAGAATTATGTCCTTGCATATTTCTATCTTGTCACTTTCAAACACTCGATGCTTAGAAGAATTTAACAGATAAACAATACTCTTTCATCAGTATATACAAAAAGAGGGTAACAAAACCTTTTATTTATTTAAAAAAGATCAGAAAAGGTGAATCCTTCAAGAGCTAAAATTGGCTTTGTATCACCAAAAAGGCTGAGGACTGACCCGTGGCATCAGGATCTCCCATAAAAGCATTCTCAATCCAGTGAAAATCCACATCAAATAAAAGAAAAAAGAAGCCTTCTACAGGCAGTTTGGGGCTCGAATTTCATAACAAAGATGCCATATCAATCTTACATAGAGCATGGGGAAGAAGAAAGGAAGGGTGTACTAGTGCTAAAAAGCTGGTAAGTACTAGTGCTAATTTAAGTATCCACTAAATTAATAGATCTAAAGCAGTTGTAATTCAATGTTCACCAACATATAACAACCAAAAAATGGATATCAAATAGAAAATTGTTTGACACAGTATAAACATCATAAAGGGGAGATAGATAGATAGAGAGAGTGTGTCAAGAAAAATCTAAACTAGATACCACAGAGAGATCCAATTTCCAATATAGAATTGCAAGCATGAACCTTGGCTACTTAAGATGGAAAGATAGATCCGAACTTTTCGTTGTAAGAGCAAATAAACTCGATACGCTACTTACAACTCATAGCTGGTTTTATAAACTCCGAATAGAAGACGACATCTTTTCCATCATAAACATTCAAATCTGGAGATCTGATAAAACCAATGCAACAACAAAGGCCTCATTTTGAGAATAAAGATCACGTACCGTCTTGCGTGACAAGCGGATAGTCCTCGGCGCTCAACGTCACGAACCAATCCCAGCCGTCGTCGAGCCGGAGTAGCGCTGAGGCAGCATGTAGCGTGGCCGCAAGCCCAGACGACCCCATCGGTGTCATTGCGCTGGCCTTCCCGACCACATCCACATTCCCAAACGCTCGTACGGCAGGGATCGAAAGCCAGACCCTGGCCGCCAGGTCGGCCCGCTCCGATTCGGAGGCATCGGCGGAGAGGTGGAGGAGGTAGCGGTTCCTGGGGTGGTAAACGGCGAGGAGCAGGCGGAGGACGCGGCGGGAGTCGCCTCGGCCGCCGGAGATGTAGTAAGCGAAGGCGGGCAGGTGGGCCGGGCCGCGGTGGACGTCGGTGGGGGCGGGCCGACGGGCGTGGAAAGCATAGGAGGCCGTGAAGCCGGAGATGGCGGAGAGGAAAAGCAGCACGGAGACGAAGGAGACGGAGATGAGGCGGAACAGCCATTTTTCCATGGCCATAACCCAGGAACGGCGGCCAAGGGTCACAGACAAGATGGAGGCCGGGGATCGAAGGGGCATCGGGGGATCCAAGCTAGGTTTCCATTCTCGATCGGATTAGGGTTATTCTCATCCGAACGGAGGGCGACGAAGTAGGAAACGAAGACGAAGAGGGAGGACCGGTTGGGAAGATATCGAAACGGGGCTGTCGGTGTGCGTCGCGATCAGAAACGGGGAAACAGGAAACGGCCAGCGGCTAGCAGATCGGCTCGTCACATTTGCATAATAATAAAAGAAAAAAAATCTTCTATATGTTTAAAACCATTTGCATAATTCAAGAAAAAAAATTATATATTTTTGTTACACATTTCACATTTATATTCAGCATGTTTTCGTCACCCCAAAAACTATATTTGTTTGATGAGATATGGTGATATATAGAGACTTGCAAGTTGCATGATTAATTAAAGTCATCATCAACAACCACTATTTAGTAATTAAATCCAAGAATTTGTTCTCTTAATTATGAAGTCTATAATGACAGGGAAGAAACACACAACCACTTTACCAACCATTAGGACCGCATGCTTGGCAAAAGATAGAACCCATTTTGGTTGCTGTATTAACTAATTGAAGGATAAGGGCTTTGGCATGATAGAAGGAAGCACACATCTGATTCCAAAGATGAACAATGGTCATACCACTACGAATGAGTATTTCGAGCATCAGCACAAGCAAATTGACCAAAACATTTAAGTATTCTAGCAAGGCATGCAAAATTAGTTCCTTGCACAAATTTTACACGGCAAACACTATCCTACTTGACTCAAAAACAAATATATATGTTTCACAAATAACAACGTTATATAGGCTTGTAAAACTATCGCTTTAGGGCTGTTGGGCGAAATTGTTTCTTTCGTTTTCTCTTTTACTAATCTCACAAATACATTGGGAAGTGTTCCATCACATCCTTCCCAAAACTGCAAAACTGATGAATAAACGGCCACTTTCAAAGAATCCAATTTGAACAATGGTTTCAGCAGCAAACATACCGACTTCCTCCACAATCACTTGCATTGAAGCTTTAGGACCCCATCTTGAATGGCCTCCAGATGATTTCAGCCGCATCCGGTAGAAGCCTAAGTACCTAAATTAATTCAACATTGTAAATTAAACACCATGGTATTTGTAGCACAACAAGCTGATCAGAAAGCACATAATATTTACATATGCATTTCTTGATTATATAACTTTGAGGGTGCAGAAAACTTTTCAAGATGAGCACTTACGAGAATGAGTTTTGATACCTCCTTTCACCATCTAATTGAATGGCTTGCAAGCACTTCACTTAACTAGAACTCTTAAAGGGATGAAATGCCTCTCCAAGTAGATGCTCACAAAGGATGCGTGCATCTGGCTTCAGAACCTTAAGAAAAGCCTTGTTCAGGTTAAGCATTGAGACTGTGTTCAAGATCCGACTGCAAAACCGCCGCACTTCTGCACGCCGTGATTGCTTTTCTGGCATCTTGGTCAACAGCTTTTCCATCAGCTCACAGATCGCTGGCAAGTTTTTCTTTAAAAATTTAGCTCTACTCGAGTCATCTTGATCTTTCTCTCCTTTTCCAGTTGGAATACACGTTTTAATAATACAATCTATGACATCTAGGGCCTCAATTTGTCGAAATTCTGATTTTGCAGTCCCACACTTCTCCAAAAGGAAGCCAAAGAGCAGAAGCCCAAGCCACGAATGCCTTCTAATAACCTCTTTGATGAAGCCAGCTTTCAGTCGAGACTTCTTATTACTGAAGTAGTCAACCAATACGTTTTGAAAATCATTGGCCACACTCTCAAGTTCAGATTTTGACAAGTCCCGTGAATGCATGACTTTTAACAACCAAAACGTGGAGGTTTGAGCAAAAGAAGATACAGTTTTATACCGTGAACGCGATGCTGATTTTAGACTCTTCTCCAACAAGATTTCAAGACTATGAAGCTGTATGTCGTCACTTTTTGGGTAGTCCTTCGCTTTAAATACTTTCTTCTGCACAATTCCTCCAATGCGTTGTTTGAGAGGCTCCCCACCCTCAGTCATATGTGAATTCACATAAGCTTGAGCCAAGTAAGAATAAACCATCAAGACCTGAGGTTTACCTGCTTCAAATAATCATTTATTGTCCAAAGTTAGAAAATAAATATACTAAAGAGGCATGTTCATTCAAAAAAAGATAATTCTATATGCAATTTTTTAGATATATGTCCCTTGAAACAGGGAAGCACATGTATGAAACACAGACGAAAACACAGAGAGAGAGAGAGAGAGGAGGAGGAGGAGGAAGGACATGCAGGCTTGAGTAATAGAGACAAGGATGATAACGGAATGTTAACATGCCTAGGCCTGACTAGATGTCTGGCCCAGGCTTAAATGTTAGCCAAAGATTTATACCAAAGGTCCAGCTCAATATATCCCAGGCTTGGCAAGCAATGTGCAAAGCCAAAGATAAAATCCAGATTTTCTTTGAGCAAGAATAGTAGGTGACCCCAGAAAGACTCAATAAACTACCTGGATTTTTCTGCAGATAAATCTCTAGAAGTGAGAGAACACGAAGTTTGAAAGGTATAAGCTGTGATTGAGCACTGTCACTGCCAGAAATTTTCCGTTCCTTGAATATCCTTGCAATATAAGAATCCATACGAAACATCGCATCATCATCCATGTCATCATCAGAATCATCAGAAGCTGAAAGTTCTTCGTTCTTGGTAACTTTATCAATTGCCTTGACTATCTCTGTCCCCATAATATCCACATCTTTCTTGGCAACTTTGTCATCAGTTTCCTCAGGTCTAAGCAATTCATCAGCACCATCAGCATGGCCATCACTATCAACTGTGTCATCAGTCCCAACTTCATCAGCCTCCTCTGCTTCTTCGATTCCAAGAAAATCATCATCATCATCTTCTTCATCTCCATAACTGCTTGCCGTTGGGTGACGAGGACCCTTCAAATCCTTCTTTACAACTCGCAACATTTGAAGGAGTCCGGCATCAGTAATATCATCACAGAAAGACTTGAAAACCTGCAGAACAAGGTACAGCATGTAATATTAGTAGAAGATGAGAACATGTATTGACTAATTACTATATCCACATACACTATCAACCAATAACTCAAGAAAACACTATCCAACTTTAGTTTCATAAGAGAGAAGTCTACATTTTGCATAGGAAGAAAAAAGCCTTATTGACAAGTTATTGCTTTTTTAATTTAAAAAAGTACTCCAAGAACATTCTGCTACTACACATCCATCAGCCAGACCAGCAACTATAAATGCATTTAATTCTGTTCAACTTACCTGTTCAACAGCAAAACATAATGGACTGGATGACTGTGGCAGAAGTGAAAGTAAATTGTCCACCAACACATCCATAAATTCTGGCACATCGTTACCATCATATTCTTCATCTTCTGAAGAGCCGTCATCAGCAGCAGCAGGAAAAGCCTTCTTGCAACATATAGTTAACTCCAATGCAACTTCAGAGAACTCTCCTGGACGGACGAGTACTTGCAACAGCAACTGGATTAGCAGATAGCGAAATGCATGTAATTTGTTTGCATCTAGGCCAGGCCTTATTTTCCTTTCCTGTAATTGATAGCGTGCAGAAATATTTTACCAACATGAACCACCAATTGAAAAAAGATATCTCTACATGAACCGCGAGTTGCACTCATAAAATTATGTTAATAGATTATCATGTGCTAACAAGAGGACAAATGAATATACCATGTTCTACAATACTTTTGTATGGAATAATACTTCAGAACTTAATCTGCAAAATCAATTGATATACATAAAGTAGCATACAAGTAGGGACAAAAGAAGACCATAATGGATTACCTGTTACAAAAAACCAAATCTGTATTCACTTAGAACAGCAAATATGAAATCAGATATATATATACATACATATAAGCAGCTACCAAGTCTTAACCTAGTTTGTTCAATCATGGAAATGGTCATATATCAGAGATACAGTTGACAGGGATTTAAATAAGATTTAAGATGAATGGGTCTTGTATGGCATGAATCAGATATATAAACATTGAACAGTTGACACACTAATGTGATGGATTTCGCAAAATCATATCTTATTTTTCCTTTAGTCGCAAAAAAAGGATCTGGACAGACATTACCAAGTATCTCTACCATATAACAACCAGCGCAAAACTACTATACCTAATGTTAAGGGAAGATGTCTGTTCGTTCAACAAAAGTAATAACACAGTCATAGAACAAAAAGAGGATTAACAAATAAAATTAGACTCTCAGGTGCAACTTATCAAACATTTAATGGCTACTTTTCCTATAATACATATAATATACCTTTTTTGCAAAGGATCTAGAATAGCTTAGATTCTCCTTTATATAGTGAGAATCTCCATAATTCAAAGCTTCATAGTTATCACAATTCATAGCATCTGGAATAATAACCTCATAATATTTGGAATCCTGATCCCATTTATCATGAAATGTTCTGCGTGTATCAACAAATATGACACTATTCATGCTATTATCTTCTTTAAACCTTGTCACTTGCTAAAATCTAAGCCCACACCCATAACCACCCACTTCATGCTGATTGGGGTTCTTCATAACCTTCACATCTTCAATTTTAAGAATTTAAATGATAGATAACGGTTACTAACACTAACAATTTTTTAGTAGCCATGCTTGATAAATTAAAATCAAAGGTAGCGTATATGCCAAACATCTAGAAATCCCCTTCAAAGAATTTCTATGAACTGGATGCATTTTTGCTACCATTTTTACTGTATAAGTGTCCCCTTAATTTTTCTAATTTACTAAGCTGTAGTGATAATAAAATCTATCAAAAATATACCAACATTTAACTGTCACCTAAGTAGTGTTTCTTCAGCCTTGGATGAATATGTACACTATTAAACCAATTACTGCCAAACAATTTGAAAACTGGCACCATTCATTTCATTTTATTAGATGCAATAAGTGAGAAAAAAGCATTCTCTCCCTAGATGTGCACTCGGATCCCCTTTTTTTATGAAAAGGAATACAAGTACCTCTTGAGAAAGTCTAGATTCCATTGATAGCAGCTTTTTAAATGCCTTCTCGTCTTCACTGGTCAAGGTCCTATAAAGTGAAACTGAAGGAATGTTGTACAAAGTGTTTAACAGACACACAAAATAAGAACCAAGGTCATTAAACTCAATGCCAGTTGATGCATGTGAACTTTCCCCTCTCTGTGCATCTTCTAATAAGGACTGAAGCTGCTCGATACACATCCTGCATAGAGAACTAGATATAGCAGCCTTTGGCCATTTAAACTTCTCTTGCAACTCAAATGAAGTTACTTCAGTGCCTAGAGATGCAGAGAACAAACCCTGAACTGCTAGAAATTTTGTAATTTCTGTCTGCACTCGAAACTTCGCTTCTATATGTTTCGCAATTTCTGTATGTGGCCAAGACTTTGCAATAGAATCCAACTTTAGATTTTTTAAAACACGAGGCATGGTATCTATAACCCAATTCTTCAGGGAATCGATATTCCCAGAAGCAAGAGTTTCTTTATCCTCTGAAGAGCATAAATCAGAATTTTCATCTGTAGTCTGACTTTGATCTGATGGTTCATCTGTAATAGGTCCTTCATCCACAAACAAACTAATCAAATCCTGCACAAACAGCAAACAGCCTGGAACCGTATTGAATTTAGCAACCAAATTTTTCACTGTCTGTGTCCTGGAAATACTATCAAATATACCACTGCTGTGTTTCTGTAAGGATGTAATGACTGAAACACACCGATCATTATCATCTCCAACCAAGTCTAGTAACTCCTTCAGAAAATGCTGAGCCGCACTGTACAACCAGGAATCTTTGTTGGAGAGAACGTCCATCAGGCAATGGACAAGCTTGTTAGATAGGACAACCTTAATGCAAGATACAGGCAATTTTGGGAGAATAAGAAGCAAAATATCCAGCGCCAAAAGTTTCCTATCATGAGATGACTGAAGAAGTGATCTTTCAATTACAACTTCATGAAAACAACGAATATTCTTGGCAATATCCTCAAAGGAGCTACCTTTACGATTCCTCTTCTGCTTTTTAACAGATGTTGAACGTACTGCAACATCTTCGGAATGAGTTGTCATGTCCAACGTAAGCAAGTTCACCATTACTGGCCAAAGACTATGAACACGTGGCAGACAGAAGCTTGATTCCTGAAATGTGCGAGTCATATTAACAATCAGAAAATGTCAAACAACATAAATAAATAAATCAGTCTATGTAACAAATAAAATAACCAACCCAATTTTCTGACTCAAATGCATCAACAACAACAACAACAACAAGCCACAATATCTCAATCTGACTTGAATGCATATGCAACTAGACTAGACCTAATTTTCAAATGGATGGTGAAGCCAAGATCTACTTAACATTTTCCGAAACACATCAGGACATCTATTGAATTGAAAAGGATTTTAAGACGATTATTCAAAATGGATTTAAGAATTTTCAAAGGCTAGTTGCTTCAATTAAGAATTTGAAAGGCCACCTGCTTAAAAATAAACAACCTCAAAGGCTAACTACTAGATGGTCACATATCACAAACACATATATGGATATAAGTTAGGGGTGCAACCTTAAAGCAATCAGCAAGATATAACAGATGGTCTCGACCAAAGAAGTTCTCAGAATTAAATGGGTGAGGAAGCAGCTTGCCAAACACTTCATCATCAACTTGAATCTTCTCTTGCAACTTCAAAGCTAAGTACAAAGCATCTGGATCTCCTACTTCAGCAGCTCTCTTAAACCAGTCGTGTACACCAGAAGCTTTCAGTACTTCAATTGACAGGGCTTGTGAGGGTAGCTGCAATGTCAGAAGAAAGCATCATGAGATCTAACTAAATCTTCAAATGGAAACTGAAAATATTAGAATAGTAAAAACTGGTATCAACTAAATAAAAAAAAGGGAGGAAAATTATGGTAACAACTTCTAAGTTCCCAACAATCTGCGGTCCGATCGATGGGGCTTTTCCTGCTGAAATTATGTTAGTAGCAATTACAACAACAATAACAACAACAATCATAAATCCCAACTATTTGGGATCGACTACATGGATCTTTTGCTGTCATTAAGATTAGTTAACAGTTATAACCAAGGATTGAAATTTCATACCATACCGGTGAACCGAACAGTATGCCTATATATATATATATATATAAAGGTGTATGCAGCCTCGGCGACATCGCCTCCTCTTCTCCTTGTAACCTCGTCTACAGCATTCGGCGAAGACATCACCCTGTATCGTCTAATACGAGGCTATATCGAGTGGACCGCCCGCTACCGGGCGATCGACGTACCAGTTCACAGATGGTACGATTTGAAATCGCAAACCTTGGTTATAACACATATAAATATCAAAATTATTCCATGGATGGCAGTACTTGGCCTTTTTATCTTAGAAGCAACTTCTTTGCACCAGGCACTTCTTACTAATGGTGCATGTAAAGAAGAAAAAGATCAACTTCTGAGAAGAGACATACCTAACATCAGTTCATAATCCAAACAGAATTAATCAAGAAACTTAAGTAATAAAAAGTTTATTACAATTTAGGCCTGAATGTCATCATTGTAATAATCAATATTATTATTAAAAAGTAATAACAGTCTGGAAGAACAGGCTGCCATTTAGGCCACAATGGTCTGACATAATCAAGAGAGTCAAATTCCATGGATGTCATGGAGTCAGACTCCCTAGATTATTATTAAAAAGTAATAATCAAGAGAGTCAAATTCCATGAAGATCGTATCATCCTGGAAATAATTATAAGTACAATTTAGGCCACAATAGTCCAGAAGAACAACCTGCCATTTCATATAATAATCAGCAGGATAACCTAGTTCAAAGCACTTCTGCAGGCACAGACCAAGTAACTAGTATCTTGCAGACATGTCACTTATGTAGCACTGCAAACTATTGCAGACAACTAAAATAACTTTCTTCAGAAAAATATTCATTCCATGTCACCTCTAAAGAACCACCAGAAAGCAAAATTGAGACAAACAACCACAAGTCACATTCATAATTATATTCAAAGAGATAAACAATGTGTACCTTATCAACCATATCTAAAATTATAGAAACAGCTGGCTCACTCAGGTACCGCTTCTTCCCAGCTAAAGAAATAATGTGGCTCATAAAATCCTTAATAACTGATGTATCAGTATTTGTACTCCAATCCTTCACAATTCGCCCAGATCTAACAAGGGAACCATAAGCAAAGAGGCGACCCAAAAGATAATCTTTAGCTTCCTAAAGCACCAATACAAAAAAAAAATCAAAATTCAAGTAGAAAACATAAAAGATATATATCTTCTTAAAAAGGCCTTAAAATGTACCTGACCCTTCATTGAAGAAGAAACATCAAGCAAATCAGTTATCAATTTCATCACTGAGTTCAACTTAATAGTTGGAATTGTCCCAACTACAGCTGCTAACCCCAATGCAAAACCTTGTCGTGCACACTGTACCCAAAAAAATCAAGATGATCAGAAAACAAACCAAAACATCAAAACCAAACCGAATGCAGACCAAGAAACACCTCTCCCTTTTTATGCACTTATGCATTATGTTCAAAGTAATCTTCACTCCAAACTCGAGTCATAATTCTTTTGCAAACCCTGGTGAACATCTACGTTTCTGCTTTCAATATTTTTCAATATTTAGTGCGCATTTAAAGTTTACGGTCCAAATGTCATTGAATCGGCTATGATGATATAAAACTATCCAGAGAAGAAACAGAAATAAATTACAAAAAATAGGGCAACTCGATATGGTTTATGGACCAGAGAAAATTGGATAAGAATAATGACAGGTAGCTAATAAGTACAAGGCACTATTCCTTAGCAGAATATCTTATAAGTATAATTTTACCAATTTTCTTAGGATCATGCTAGTAAGAAAATATGAGGAAACCAAATTTTAAAGGTATTTGAATATCCAAGAAATTGCAATGATTTTTTGGTAGTTAAGTAGCAGAACATATTCAGACCAGCAATATGCACATTTAACTAAAAGCATGTAACGGACAGGACAAAAGAAAATACCCTCCACTTTATAATAAAGAAAAGGCCACTCATTGATAAGAAATCAAACACGTAAAAGACAAAAGCATGATAATGTTTTATTTAAAGCCATTTGTTCGAAAACTTGAACTAAAAGATGGTAATTGCGATAAACTACAGATCGTTAATAAAGCACTGACCCTCCAACGGATTCACTAATGGATAAATTCATATCTATGCAAGATTAAAAAGGGTAAGAAACATTGAACAAAACTGATGATCAACTACACTTCTAAAGGGAAGTGGAGAGTAAGTAGTAAGATATGTATGATACCTCCCTCGAGGAAGACACCCCCCGGATAAGTCGACGAATAGCATATCTCAGAGAAGGCGCACAGTCCTCCAACCCATCATCCTTCTCAGCCTCTAGCTGAAGAGCCCCATCTTCCTCCCCTTTCCCCCTTTGCTTTTCGTATGCTTTCTGAACCTCAGACAACTCCACCACCAAAGACTCGGCAGCAGCTTCCCTAACCGAAGAATCGGCAGATGCAAGATCCCTGAACACATTTACATGCAACCCAGGCTGGTTGGCAGCAACCATAGAGGGCACGGACTGCGTGTCAGCCAAAGGAGCGCCTTCACTAGGCATCTTAGCTTTAGGCTGCTCCTTCTCAGCATCAAGCCGGTGCCTTGCCTTGTCCAATTCCTTCCTCTTCTTCCTCCTCTCCATAATATTCATGGACCTAGGGGCTGCCGATGCCGCAGTCTTTGCATTGAAGGTCTCACCTTTTTCAAATTCTTTGTCAGTTTCCACGGAAACCTCCTCAACCGAATCATTATTCTCGCTATCTAGCGGTTCTTGGGAAATGGAGGGCCGCTTCTTGCTACTCATTGGACTGCCGAGATCCTTTCGTGACACGAGATCCGTATGGTCGCTCGTTTAAACTGAGAGATGCACTGCAAGAAATCGATTGAGATAACGATGCGCGGAAGGAGAAGATACCTCACCAATAGAAGAAAGTCAAAGGAGGAGAAAGATATCGCCTTCTTTTCAGGGGGTTAGGGTTGGCGAGGGGTTTCGGAAGGAAGCCAAAGGTATTGTGTGCGGGCCGCCGCTCGCAAGAGAGGAAAGCGAGACGATCAAATAGCCTTTTATAGCTCATCAAATGACACAAGTACCCTGTATTGTTAGGCTTAGAATTGGGCCGGCCTGTAAAGCCCGTAAATATTGGAGAGGGCATCGGCATCGCATTAGGGTTTCTCGAGTTCTCCGATCGACTTACCACAAAATTAAATTTAAGATCAATTTCGATAGAATAGTAGGGTATCCAAGTAAAATTTACGTTTGAATTCGGAATCTCCAATTCATCTAATTCAATTAAATTGGATTTGAATCTTGTTCTTGTTCAAAAAAATTAGAAAAAAGTTTAAACCTTTTGGTCAAGAGTTATATATATCATATGAGATATAATATCATAATAAATATTAAGTCGACTATAGCATTTTATTATGAAATAAATTAATTTAACGATAATAGAACCATCAAGCCATTATAATCTACTTTAAATCCGGTCTATACTTATTTTATAAAAAAAATTTAAATATATAGGTTTAAATTCTATACATGTCAACATAATATGGATGGATAGTTGAATAAGTATAAACAATTAACCCAAAATACTGTAGTTCATATTTTATTTATTTATGATGTCTTTATTGAAAGAAAATTATTTTTTTTAAAAGACATGTATTTGGGAATAATACATGGAATGATTCACCACAAAGCTAATTATAAGATTAGTACTTGGTTTTCTCTTATAATATTGGTCTTTTACTACTATATAAATCGGGCAAAGCTTGTAAGAAAAAAAAAGCTTCAGCCAAACTACCTTTTTTTTTTTTTGCTTATATATCATGTTTAATGGGATAAACTAAAATAAAAAATACTAATAATAAATAAAATAAAATTAGAACATAAATATAAACAAATTTTTGTAGTGTCTGATCTCAATGGGTCACAAACCTATGTCTGGCTTACATTTCATATCAGGTAACAATTTCCAAGAAATCACAATATTTTGGAAGAAACACACACAGTAATCTTAGATTACCACTTTGTATGAAATAGTGAGAACTGGGAACAATTGCAACTAAATATTAGTTGATCATCTTGATAAAAAGTCACATGCTTTCAAGGATACATTTCTTGAATACCTAAGATAAAGAGATCTAATATTATGACACAGCAATCACTAGTTAATTACTGTCTGGCCCTGTTTGGTGCTTTGAAAATGGCTTCCTTGTAGTATTTTAGTTCCCTTATGCTCTCCTTTATGTCATCCATAGCTCTATGCCTTTTCTCCTTTGCAGGTGCCCTCCTCTTCTCTGTTTCAAAAAGTGACATGAACTTGTTTCAGACATGTATCTTATTCAGAATATTCAAAGGATGTAACAATGTGATTTATAGATATGCTTCACCGTATTGTAATCAGATAATAAAAAAAAATGAGAAATTGGATCGGCATGTAGTATGCATGTCAATCAGATGGCTAAATAGAAGGTCAATGATAGTCAACACTGTTGTCGGCATTACCAATTTTATTTCCAGAAAACACATTTATGAAGAGATTTGTTCTTTTTAAAAGCATAAATGCAAATCAAGCATAAGTTCCGTCACACTGATCTTTATGGCACTCAGATTTAAGTTATTACATTCAACTTATTACTTGAGTAGCATATTAAAATTGTTTAAACTAGAGTTTATATTCAACTTGCTGCTCGAGTAGCATAAAACTAGTATTGGCTCATCAACTAATATGACAAAATGTTGAGACGAGGCACAACAACAGGCTCTCTCCTGAACTCCAAAAGCAAGATAAAACAGAGTTTCAAATGCGATAGCCTCATATCTAAATGTGGTTATACAATTGCCCTGCATGCAGCTACATGGCCTCAAACAATGTGGTGACTAATGGAAATGTGGAAACTATCATATCGTCTGCATAAGCATAAAAATATGCCTCGTGTGTTTAACACTCATTCTTTTTTAGGACTATTGCTTCAACTACTACTATATGGTCCATGATAAATGTTATTCACCGTTTAGATCTGCACTAGTTCTATAATTCGCTTAAGTAACTTTTCAAATGAGAATGATTGACATCCTATAGATTTTTCACTTGGTCTTTAGAATATATGTCTATATTTTTATCTACACTAAAATTAATTTTATTAGAATATTTTAATGAATTGCATATACAGTTGCATACCATGTGCATATTGTGATATATTGACGGCCTTCAAACCATGACTACTTTTCAAAACATTGAGATGAAACACCATCAATCAAATTATCAAGCATGTTTTTCAGACATGTTAAAATGTAAACACATGGACATAAATTGATACATAACATATTACCTTTTGGAAACCAACGGATGCACAAAGCCATAACACTACTAACATCAACTAGTGTGTGAGGAAAGATAACAGCCAGAGAAGGCATATATTTCTGTAAGAAAAACATAATAGTATATAATGAGAACCATGTCGTGTAGTATCATATATCAAACAATAAACTAACCTTTGTTTTCGATAAAAAGCAGTACTAAAGAGATAACTGCAATTTCAAAATGATTTTGCTTGTATTACAAGCTCGTTGGTGGTTAAGCTAATATCTGCACAGAATGTCTTTTTTCTTTTGAAGGCTAAATATAAAACGCAAACGCAGGAGCTTGTAATACTTTACAGTTAAACCCAAGTTAGGCTGCACCAACATTTTGCTTTACTCAAAGCCAAGCATAATTTGTAAATTTAGACTAGCATTATTCAGCAAATGCTGAAGTAGCAAATTGAGATGTATCCTAAGTGAACTAAATAATCACATTCAACACAAAAGTAGCCTCAATTCTATAGGGTGAAGGAAGAAAAAAAGTCAATGCCAGAACTTGGTCAATGTTACATCAGGCACTTGGTCAGAAGGATTTTCCTTAAGAGGTTCAAGTATGGAAATTTATCGATAACCGAAGTGAAGAAACAGAGTTTACAATGAAAAGTTAAGTTAACCTCATGATGCTTGAATTAATAAGTTATCATGTCATTTATATTATATCTAGAACAATTAGTAGAGAAATTAATTTGTTGATGAAGACCCAACTATCTTGAAGTTCATGTACAAATTATGAGGGTCATTGCTCTACATATGCAACCATCCAAATTTCTATTGAAACATTGTGAAATTATATTTACACCTTAATATATAGAATACCATATAACCAATTTAAGATTATGATTAAACATTGATGTAAAATTACATCAAACATATCCCTAAAAGTATTTACTATATAGATAAAACTTACTGAAAAGCTAAATCAGAAGAAATTTCAAGTCATCAGATTTGTATGCAGATCCACCTTATTTAATCCAAATATATTCATTGTTCAAATCTTTTAGGATTACACCATGAGAGCTTGGTCATAAAACAATATTATCATTGAAGGCTGTATGCTGACAATTGGAGTAGGAAATATCTAATGAAATAAAAAAATAGGAGATATTATTCTGACCTTCAAGAACAGAAAATCCACATAAACAGAATTTCCAGCCAATTGTGGGGTATGTCCACCTACATGCTTCTTCACAAAGTCTATAACCTGCAATGAGCATGTATGGCCTAAAGATGCATGCAAAAGGATAACTTGTGTTGACTGATTTCAAAAATGTGTGTGTTGACTAGGTGAACCTACATGCAAGAAGTATGAAGTTACAGACGATCATTCTGAGAACTGACTATATCAAAAACATACAGGGAATGTTTGCAACCGTATTTTGTATAATTTGAGAGGAACAAATAATCAGAAAAAGGAAAAAAGACAAAAAAAAAATTACTGCTGCTAATAATCACATATCACCAAAACTCAAAAATGCTAGCAGTTATTGTGCTAATCATTGAGATCATTGTACTAGTTTGGGTAAATATTAATAATTTTCATACTGGCTTCCAGTATAAATGTACTAGGCTGGGTACATATTAATAGACTATCTAACCTTCAGGCTCCTACTCTTGCAAATGCTGCAAGAACTAGTTTTTTTGGAGACTATGACAGTCCTGGTTAATAAATAATATTCTTTTCTTTAAAAAAGTTGAAATCGTTGTCTACCAACAACATAAAGGTGTGACAAATTAAAACGAAGTTCTAGGCTCATGTTCATTTAATGTACATTTACTGTAGCTATACGACTAGTAAAGAACCTGCTACTGCTTTTTACAACTATTTTTATGCTTATTTCTAACCTATTAATAAAGATTATACATGGATATTGTTCCTCATAAGTTTCTAGTTTTGTATGTTAAAGAGAACATGACTACATAACAAGGTTTTTAATTTCGCACCATACTGACATACCAAGCTTTACTCGGTACGGTGTCGGCATATCGAGCGGTACATCGGGGGATACCGAGCGGTACGCCAGGGCGTGCTTGATGAAGATTAGAGAAGCAGCCGAAGTTTCCGTGCTTGAGTTGTGCCGCCTCCATCATCAATGATCCCATGACAACCCGGAACAAGCTCTCCGCTGAGCTATGGCTCAACATCTGTCGTTACTACCGCTGCAGTTGAGGATGGAATATCATCTACGGGGCAAAGGTAAATCCTTTGCTTTTTTGTTCTTTGACCTCCTGCGCAGAAGGCGACGATAACGACTGCGGGGGTGGAAAGTAAGGGATGCTCTGGCCGTTAGTGGTGGCGACGCCATCAACGGGACCATCCTGAGTCTCGTCGCGAAGATCTGACGCCAAGAACAGAGCGAACATGGTCTCAATCTCGAGGCTGGAGGCTCTAACGAGGAGGAAGTCCTCAAAGACTATGCCGAGCAACGAGCTCGGGGCTGACCGATACTGGAGGCCGAAGCTCATCTGCTACTGGCGACAAAGGAGATTGGATTCGGCTTTCGTTGTTCGTTGTCCATTGAATGCGCAGGCGGGCGGGTAAGGAAGGTTGAGATCTTCCGACGACCGCGTTGAAGGAGACTCGTACATCACGTCTCCTCCTCCATCGTCTCGACTCCCACACTACCCTCTCCTTGCTCCCACTTCAAATCAAAATAGGCTTCTTTTCCCACAAAAGATTTGAACCTACAGCTTCCGCCTCTTCGCCATAAGCACAGCTCCAAGAACCAGCTTCCCAAGAAACCACCCACATCGAAAGCCGAATCAACCAAACTATGTTATTGGCTAGAACGAAGCAAATTAAAGAAGTTGTTCCAATAGGGAATCTTGGGGAGGAACCGATAAAAATCGTTCCTTTCACAGCTAGCCTCCCTCTCTACCGCCCTTAAATTATCGATAAAAATTCGGTACCACCCGGTAATGGGTACATACCGCCCGGTACGAAATTAAAATCATTGCTACATAATCATTTGTTTTACCAAAATATGCAACTATTCACCCATTATATGTCTTAAACTATGACCCAAAGTTGCTCCCATAGTTTGATTTGTGTTCTTAGGTGAAACATTAAGTAATATTCATTTTGAAATCAATATCAACTAAATGATTCTTCACAAACAATGATCTTTTAAAAAATACTTAGTGGACTCCAAATGGCAACAGTAGATGCATTTTTTATCCAATTCCTCCAGATTAGTTGTTTAAAGTAACGTATGCACTCCATATTAGCTGTTCAAACCCATGCTTTTAAGGAATTGTTAGGGTGTTATGGAGGAAGGAGGCATTTTTTAACTAAACTATGGCATGTATAGATGATTTTGCAGTCCAGTTATATGTTTGACAGAACAAGGACATGTTTCCTTTTTCTTTTGGGTGTTTTTTTTTTTTCTATTACTTCTGTTTGCTACTGGTCAATACCAACCAGTATGCTGGTATAATATCAGTCTAACAGGGTACTGACTGAGATCTAAAACCTTGGTACTCCACTCATTGGATTTAAATTGTCATAACTTTCTTCTTCAAATTCAGGTAGAATCTTGGGTCATTTATTTCTTCCTTATACAGGAAAAAACCTATAAACATGCAACAGTAAGATATGCAACGAGTAGACACAACATACCTGTTTTTCTGCATCCACCTCTGTTATTGTGCTTCGTAGAACTCTCTCTGTCAAACCTGCCATAAAATTGAATGAATATCAATTTTTCTTCCTTTTAGAAATTTAGATGAAGGCCACCAAAGTGAAGAACATCAGAACACAGGCATACCACTAGCTCCATGATGTTCACGACACCATTCCCCCATATTATCCAAGCACTCCTTTGTTTGTTTGATAACCAAATCTGGACCCTGAGTGCAGAAATATCTTAACTGAGTCAGCAAACAGAAGTCCACCAATTATGCAAGGAACACACATTTTTGCCAGTGATAAATAAATGTGTAAGATCATCATAGCCGATGAAACCAAACAAAGTTTTTTTTTTTTAATACATGATGAACTTCAAGAAAACAACAAACAAAATCCATACTGACAAGATCAGCAACCTAAGTAAATGCAGCTTTTCCATACTTTTAAGTAAAAATAATAATAAACAGTTCAGAAATTTGGTCTAATGAAAGAAAATTAGGATTTTCTGGCCACGCATCAAAGAAAATGAACAACAAACAGGCAGGAGCCTCATTGCATTAGCAAAAACCTGAATTTATGGATCAACATCCAACATCTAATGACAATTGTATGTGAATTATGTGATATAATGATATATCCGATTGGCATAACCACAAATGCAAGCTACCTTCTACATTGGTGATGTTTAGCAGGCTTTTCTGCATTTGTTAAGAACATGTTAGCTGGCCTTGAGTAATAAATAATCATAAGGCTCTAATCTAAAGTCTAAATGTCAGTCTCAGTTCACTAAGGCCTAGCAAGCCATTCACACTTTGGACCATGATATGGATTTAATAGCATTGTAATGACGAAACAACGGTGCTTCAGTCAGAAACATTTGGAATAAAATGTGCAATTTGCTTTTGGCATAATCTGCTACTACCATATCACAATTATAAGGAAACAGCATATATTGAAAAGGTAAATTCTCCTTCTCATCATATTTCAGATCCGCTATCTATCATCTTCTATATTGCAAGCTAGGCACAACCACCCTTAGCATATGGAACATACGTATTTATATGGATAACCAACTTTAGTTTGTGGAATATATGCATTCACTCAAACCTATCGATTATTAACAAGTATACCAAGTCAAGAGCAGCCAACTACACATGTTCCAAGAACGACAGATTCTATGGGATCAAAATTGGAAAGAAAACACAAATATTCACAATATCCAAATGCAATAAAGAAAATTTATAACATCCATCTCATTCAAGGGTGAATATCTCTCCACAAAGACAACTAAAAGCTTCGGATTCAAGTTGAAAGATCAAATATTGCATGCCATGTATGGATTTCATGGCTATAGAAGACTTCCAACAGTCTAAAACCTGTCCAAACTGACAAGTTCACAACTAACATTAATTGTTAGTATTTGTCCTGTGCTATTTCTCTGAGATGTAAAGCAGATCAACTAATTATATTTATTATAGTCTTGCTTCACATTTGACCTGTTACAATGAATAGGGATCCTTTGGAACTTGTCTAATGTTCCTACTTGAAACATGTGAATCTCTATTTAAAAGAAAAAGGACATGTCAATGCCTTCCCTTTCAACAATGATAGCCTGCCTCAGGCAGCAGGTTTCAAGAATGAATGCAACATTTTAGCAACTTGGGCTCCAAACAATAAAATACAAAAAGCTAAATGAGAGAGTCGAATGGAGGAAAAAGTAAACATGGTGCAAGTCAAGTGCCTGAAGATATGTAATCAACAGAAAAAAAAAAACTCACATCAACTGATTTGGTTAAATTACCATCTGTTATGACACAAGCAATCTCCAATATCCGATCAACTTCAATACTCAAACCTACACAGTAAAAGGTGACAGTAGAGAAGCTAAAGTTAGAGACGATGATACTAATGCAGGTTGGATTTTACTCAAAAGAGAGCAAAGACTCTAATCTTCAATTTAATTGCAAACAAAAGAGATCTCCAGGTTCTGCAGCAAGCAGTGATCAATAATCTTTCCTTTTAACTCTAATATGAATAGGGACAAAGGATGAATAGAAAGCTGAAGAAAGAGGGTCAGGTGATTAAAAATAATAAAGTGAAATATTCAAGAATTATCCTTTACCACAGATTTTACTTGAAAATAGGGATTACATATGAATTAGCTGGATGTGTACGTGTTGGTTTGCAAATGCCAGCATAGTACTTTATTTTATTCATAATTTCTAGACAAATACAAGGAGTTTATATGAGTTGTTTCATAAGTTCCAGGACCAATAAATTGTTGTAAGTAAAGGCAAAGATTTAATATGAGATACATCAAACAAATTTCAAAAGTAATGTAAAGAGTTAATGATAGTGCATGTACTCATATCAACAAGCATTATTAACTTAACCAAGTTTCTGCCAAATGTTTAATGCATTAACCTCGAAAGAGTAATAATTTAAGTTCATACCTGTCATTTCCAAGTCAATCCACACAAGGGGCATTTTGTAGTCACCCGATGATGATGGAAGGGTTTGTTGTTGCAATCTATCATCTTTTGAACTTTTATTTTTTCCTGATGTTTGGCCTTTTCCCTTAGTTACATCTGTAGAGAAACACATACCAATATTTCATTAAAGGAGACCTGAATTCCAAATATCAATCATCTTGTCAGCCTAATAATGCAATATTAAGTTCACTAGCTCCAAATCAAGAAAAAACCAACCTGACTTTTTGGCATGGGTTTCATCCTTGGCAACAGAAAGAGAGGCTATTTGTTCTTTGTCATCCTCAGCATCCAAATGAAGAATAGAGAATAGATTTGAAATACTGTTCATCTTATAACCTTCTCCTACAAGCAAAAGAGTAAGCCTCTCTATCCACTCTCTCTACTTGGTTTCACAGAAAGTCACTTAAGTCATACATCATCGATTGTAGGGAGACATTAGAATCTAAAAGCAAAGAGTATGAGAAACTTCACCAAAATAACATTATTCACAGTTTAAGCATAAAAAAGCATCATGAAGATTCAAAGTTCACCAGCAAAAAGATGTTAGTCTGACTAAGAATAACCCACAAGCGTCCATGTCAGCCTCGATCTGACATGGAATACACAAGATCCTTACTCAGTGACGCACTGAATTTTATCTGAACAACATGTTAATAGCAAAAGTTGCCTACAGCAGGACCAACTAACAGCTGCTAGAGATTATATGCAAGTTGATGGATTTCGTATTAAATCCACTAAGTTGCAGCTCAGGATTCTAATGTATTTTCCAGATAATTCAGTCCCTGTCAATCCACACTTTAGCTCAGTTAGCATTCAAAGTCTTCCTCGAGAGCTGAGCAAGCAAATCAGCAAACAAGTTGCTCTCAACAGTCTTTTCTAGTCCTGACGAACGCCAATTAACGCAGGTCATCAGAATGTAATCGAACAGGAAATACTCAAGTCCAAAAGGAAGAACAAAATCGGAAACCCTCACAATACCGTCGTATATCATGAATGAATATATTAACTAACAACAAATAGGAACTACCATCCCCTATTTTCAAGTCCTCATGTCACCCAAATTCCCGTCAAAAAAAATTTGTTCTTTTCACCACAAAACCCATCACTGGTACCAAGATCTTCTGGCGAGGAAAGGAATGATAGGATCCGAGAGAAAGAACATCAATTAGCAGAGAACAAACACAAATCGCAATTAAATGTGATCGGAGAAACGCAAAAAAAAAAGGGGGGGTGCGATCGGTTACTTCATAAGGAAGTATCGTACCGGCGCTCAATAGCTGCTTCCCTCGGCGTCTCGTCTCGTCTTCTTTGGTGGAGGGATTCATTAGAAGAGAGGAAGGCGAGCGTGCAAATATACTTCAGTTAGATACCTGCGGGAGAAAGACACCGAGGTCCCACAGCGAAAGAGATGGGGTAGAACAATGGGTGGAACGTCTGAGTGTACGGAGAACCATTCAAGAAGTCAGTGCACGGTTCAGCCCATATCGGTTTAGGAGAGAGCCCAACCCATTTGGCCTATATATGCACGCCTGTACCAGAATAGCGACCAAAGCATACGTATGTACGCGTCCGCGTTCTTTTCACAGAAGAAAGGAAGGTGAGCGTGCGAAGGTATTTATGGGAGAAGGACGACTGGGTCCAACCGCCAGTCGGGTTTTCGAGGGTTCAACGAACCCACCGTTAGTCGGAACGGTGTCGTCGTCGCCTCCGTTCACCGATTCAGAGGAAGCGTTGGCTTCGGCCGGAGGATTAGGTTTTCACGGGTCATCTCAGTGCGTGCATTGCGTCAAGAGGGTTTGAAGAAGGCGAGTGCTCGGGTGGGCCTCACGTCGAGGCCCAAGCGAAGGCACCTGCCCGGCCCACCTGTTGGGGCACTCGAGTGCTTGTTGTAGCCTGTGTTTGATTTTACGCTGCCTTTGAGATTTGATTTCGAAGGTATTCGATTGTTCACATAAGCTTGTTAATTTATGGGTTTTATTTAATTAGAAAATATATATTTAAAATTTGATTAATTTTTATTACGTTTATCGATTAATAAAAAGAAAATCGATAAGATTCCTTAAGAGATAGGGACTATCTTAATCATCCTTCCTACTCTCATCTATATATAATCAAAACCTTCCTAGATCCTCTATTCTATCGTATCTAGTGATTCTGAAAATAAAAAAAGAGAAAAATAAGTATATAGTTTATTTCCTATATAGATCCAAGACATATCATGGTACGTTGCATTGCCACATCTAAGATAGTACCTATTGATTAACGTGTTCAAAAAATATACATCTTCTGTCTTAGATTTATGATATTTTATTTCAATAATAGCATTAAATTTTTTTATATAATAATTTTATTCCTTATAATTATGTCAAAGTTATATCACTGGAATCTAAATTATGGTAGATCATTAAAGAAACTAGATTTATTTGTATATTAGATCTATTTTAGATCTATTTATGCATTAGATCTATTTTAATTATATCAAATTATTATTTCTAGTTTTGATTATATTGCCATAGATTTAGCTAAATTTGTCTAAGTTGTGAGTCATCCTTATATTATCCATTCACAATAGGTTAGCTTAGTTGCAACCTTACTTGATGTGTAAAAAACAGTTTATAAGCAATTTTACAAATATTTGATGTGTAAAAAAAAATTGAGAAAAAAAGACTTTAAAAGGCAAACAAACAGTCGTAAGTCGACAAACAACTACTCACCAGGTGTCAAGCACGTTGGCAAGTTTCCACAGGCTTTACGTACATACTTGTGAATTCAATCAACGTCTAATACTATCTCAAACCCTCATCTAGTCCTATACCACCTGGGTGGTTCTGGAGTACTGAGATGATTGACGTTTTACTTCGCACAATAATCTATAAAAAAAATAGGTTATCGCATGCAAAGACCGGGTCATTTTGAGGTAATTTTATTCATTCTGGTGAGTGATAGCTCTGTAACTTTATAAACTATTCATGCTTACAGGTTTTTAGTACAAATACATAAAAATAAAGTAAAATATATTGTAAAACATATGTATAAGTAAATAAAAATGATGAATTATCCGTTAATGAAAGTATTACGAGTGCACGATGATCATCCGTGATATTTTTCCCCACTTCAATTATCGATGCTCTTATCGACGCTTATTGATAGGCTTTGATAACTATTTCTTTATATTGTAGGGTATTTTTAGTTTCTTAATTGGCTTATGTCCGGGAAAGCTTTTATCACTTCACTAAATATCGAATATGTTATGCTTCATTAGATAGCATTATTTTATAATATGCTAAAATGGCTTCAACTTACTTTTATAGGAGGCTTTGGTGGTCGGTAACTAAGTTGGAACACTTCAGGAAACATCTTACGGATCTAAGTGGTAGGCTTTCAAGTTACTTGCATAGAAAACATTGTGAAATTTGAGCTACGCTAACAATTGTAATTTATAAGAGATTATCTACCATGCTGATAATTGAGAAAAGTCCTTCATACTCATGCACCGGTCACTTTGCACTTTGTCTAAAGAACTAGAGTGATGTTGGTTAGAGCTTCATCGGCACCAAGTCACCGACTTTAAACTCCTATAGTTACCTTTCAAATCTGCCCACTTCTTTATCTTTTTAGTTGCCTTCTTCAAATAAGCCCTAGTAATATCTATATTTTGGTGTCATTTTTTTATAAAGTGATATATCGATAAGTTATTCCTAATATAACCAATAGCTAAGGTGTAATGAGTTGACGGTTGTTATCTTGGGTTATAGGAAAATTGGGTTATATATAAGAACTTCACGTAATCTTGTTGGTTGGCATTCACACGATGCCAAAGATATTACTCAATTAGCAAACTTATTCGTTCAGTTTAGTCATTCATCTACGGGTGGAGGCTTATGAGTAAGTATAACTTAGATCCCAATAATTTGAACAGCTTGGTCTAGAATCATCCCAAGAATTGTACATCTCAATCATTAATGATATTATATAGGACTCACTAATACTTCGCATTTTTTATCATCAACTTAGTTGCCTCCTTTGTTGAGTATTATAGGCTATAACAATGTATATTGTATACTTTAAAAATTAATCAGCCACCATGAGTATCGATCCAAGTCCTCTTACCGTCAGCAAGTTTGATATAAAGTTCAATGAAGTGCTATCTTACAACCTTTCTGCTCCAAAAGCCTCACTGACTTTTGCTATTATAATTTATTTTATTGGTTGGTAAAGCATATTCGAATATATTTCTTCACATCGGTCATCATCTTTGGCCAATAGAAGACTCTTCCAACAAAAGTTAATGTTCGGTGAATACTCAAATGTCTTGCATAAAGGGAATCATAATACTCTCTTAAGATATCACGCCTTAAATTCTCCGTTTGAAAAATATAAACGCAATTTCCTTTTTGTAGAAGAGTCCCTCTTGGACCTAAAATTATCGTGTCTTACCTTATTTAATCAATTGCATTAAGGTTATTATTTGAGGATCACTGTACAATCCATCCCTATCTTGAAAGAAAGTTAGAGTGCAACTGACTTGCTTGGCCTTCACCTTCCGGTTGCATGACAATCACTAACTTCACTTTCCTCCTTAATACATCAGCTACGATCATTATCAAATCAAATTTGGTTAGGAAATCCTCTCACGATGCTTACTTACTTTGGGGAAAGTTTCGTAAGTTTAAAAGTAACTCAACGTGATATTGTTTATCCTTGGCATAAATCGCATTATAAGAAGATAGTACCACCATACTTATAAACAATGGACTATCGTTGTCATCTCTTTTTGATAAATTTTTTAAATAAATTTTATATAAAATTATTTTGAAATAAAATTTATTTTATTTATTTTGATTTTGAACTCTTTTATATTTTATCAATTAATAGGTCAAGTAAGAGAAAATTAGATTACGTGATTCTATTTAATTAGGAAAGATATATTATAGATTTAATTAATCTAATTATGATATAATTCTTTAGAAGATGACCTATTAATTACTTTTTCTAAACTCTTTATTTTTGTCTATACATAGGAAAGACTTGTTAGGTATGATATAAAGATATTTTCTCTCACCTCCCCGTAAGCTCCTATTCCATAAATTACAATGGTATCGAGTAAAGAGAAAATCTACCTTCTTTCCTACGAGAGTTCACAATGTATTAGTACATTTTTAATTAGCATGTTTAAATAGTACATATCTTTTGTCTTGTCTTATATCTATGATATCTAATTTTAATTAACATTAAATTTCCACATAATAATTTTATTTCTACCTTCTCTTATTTAATTTATGCACGTGTAGGAATGAATTTAACGGATCAGTAAAAGTTGTATGTTGTTCTTTTTCACAAACTAAAAATGTCAAATTCGTTCTCGAAGGGGAAGGGTGCTTTCAGAATGTCTGTGGGATGATAGCACGATAAATGGAGTTGGATTTTACGTATACTTTTCTAATGAGCATGTTGATAGTGTTTTATAATATTTCTCTTTATTGAATTATGGTATGCCAAATTATGTTTCTGATTGTTGCTACAACAAATTATTCTCTTTAGTTAACATTTTACTCCTTAAAGGTAGACTAAAGTGTCTGATGCCTACTGTCGTTTGGTACTCTGCATCTTTCTTTCCTCGAGGATTACTGATCTGCTGAGTTGCTTCTTGTGTTTGTAGACACCTCTCAACTCATCAAGAAAGAAAATAATCATGGCAGAACCTTTGGGTGAGTGAGAAGAAGGCACGACAATGCCCAACCAAGCTGCTATTGCTCTTCCAGACCAGTAATGATCTACTATTTTCTTCTCTGACTTATGGTGCAGCCTCAGCTTCTTTGTAGTTGTTGGCTGGTCTTTGACTCATCTTCTTCAATTCATGTGAAGTTTTGCTTTATCAGTTTCAAAACAATGAAAATTTTCAACCAACATTACTTTTGTCCACCTTTTCTGGATACAAAAGGCATGTTGGTTGAAAGCCTTCATTTTCACCCTATCAAAATATTAGTGGATATATATATATATATATATATATATATATATATATATATATATATATATTGATGATAAACTTTTAGGCCGAGGAGTCGGCTTGGTTTGATCAGTTTTGAATGCACAAGATCGCCTGCATCGGTACTCGGGCAGCGGAAGTCATCATCCGATTGGGTCGAGCTTGAGCCTCGCTTCCAGGATACGGGGGTTCTTCTTTGATTGGTCGT